CATCAATTAAAGGATGATTTTCTGTTGGACTAAATGATGGTTTCCATCAGAAGATCTGCAGGGTCTGGAATTCGGTTCTTAGGAAATCCTATCTTGCATGTTTCCTTTAGGTTCAGGATTTGGTCCTAGAGGAGCTGCATCTTCAGGGCTGCAGAGAGCTGACTGACTACTCCGTGGAGGTTCTGATTAAGCACCAGCCCAAACTCCTGAAACTGGACATCAGCGGCTGCACAGGACTGACCAGTAGGTCGGTGGAGGCTGCAGCTCGTGGCCTGGAGTCTCTGACGCATCTCTCCTTGTCTGGAGACTGGAGGATCACTGAAAAAGGTCATATGAGTGCCTTTACTCATCTTTATTTCTCACAGCCTCAGCTCTTTTCCTCCGCTCCTGATCTGGTTACTGTTGTTGGGCTGAGCCAGCCTGGCTGTGTCCATGTCTTCTAATGCTTTAAACCTGCCATCATCATTCCCGTCCCAAAGAAGTCTCAGATCACCTCGCCCAATGACTACCTCCCTATTGCACTGACTCCTATCATAATGAAGTGCTTGGACTGGTTAAAGAACACATCCTTTCCACTCTCCCCCCAAAATTCGACCCGCTCCAGTTCGCCTACCGATGAAACCGCTCCACTGAAGATGCCATCTACTGAGCTCTTCACCTGAGCCTAGTACACCTGGAGGAGAAGAACAGAGGCTGTTCCTGGACTTCAGTTTTCAACACCATCATCCCACAGCATCTAATAGGCAAAATGGAACAGCTGAGCTTCAATATACCCCTCTGCAACTGGCTGCTAGACTTCCTCACTAACCCTCAATCAGTCCGGGTCAGACAGAACACCTATGATGTCATCAGTCTAAGCACAGGCTCCCCTCAGGGCTGCGTCATGAGCCCCCTGCTGTTCACCCTGGTGACACATGACTGCGTCCCCAGGTTTACAACCAACCACATCATGAAGTCTGCAGACGACACTCTCAATCATGTCACTGACTCTGCATCACACTGATAACACAAAACCAAAAATAATGCATATTTGCAGCATATATATTAATGCTCTGAACTTCCATTAGAATTTCTTCCACAATGTTTACATTTGATCACTGCTGCACTTCAAGGAATGGAAATGTTATGAAAGGTTACAAAATGCAATTTTGTTTTTTAAACACTCTGTGTATACTAAATGACAGTAAAAGTTTTCTAAGTCTAGTGAGCAGGAATGTCTTTCTCGTCTCCAGGGCTGGCTGAGCTGCTGTCCGTCTCTTCCCTGCTGTCTCTGGACCTGTCCGAGTGTCTTCACATCAGTGGAGTAGAGCTGGTAAAGGGACTGAAGGGCTCTGACACTGCCAAAGCAAAGCTGGAGGCGCTCAGCCTGAGGAGCAGCACGTACCTGAGGGTCAGTGAGCGATCCAATGTTTGGCTTCCTCCAGGAAGTAAATGCCACCAATCAGCTGCCTTTCTTCTCTCTTCAGGATCCCGCCGTTTTTTCCCTCGCTCAGCTCCTTGGGGATTCTCTGCGTGAGTTGGATCTAACGTCGTGTATTAACGTGACCGACGTGTCTGTATACGCCATCAGCGCCTACCTGCAGAAGCTGGAAGTGCTGCAGCTCGGCTGGTGCAAGGAAGTCACAGATTGGGGTTTGTTAGGGATGGGGCAGAGAAGTGAGAGTGAGCCAGATGAGGAGATGGTGAGAACCACTGCTGCACACCAAGCTTCAGCTCGGAACCTTACATCCATTTCACCTTTATCATCATTTTATCTTTGTGCTCACAGGGGGACAAAGGTCCAAGGTTCACCCGGACCTTTGGCAACATGGGCTTCTTCAAGCCTCCTCGGATGCCTTTTGAAGAGCGCCCCAAGCTGCTGACTCAGAACGACCTTCAGCGGTTCAGACAACAGGCCGGAGCGTCGCTGCTGGCTCTGAGACGGCTGCGGGAGCTGGACCTGTCAGCCTGCGCCAAACTGACCGACACCAGCGTCACACAGGTGGCTCCAGATGGGAGAACCAGACTGATTCTGGCCTCCTCTAACCAACCAGGCCCTAATGGGTGCAGGGTGTCCAATCCGTGACCATAGATCTTTGCAGGTCCAGAAGTGGAATTTTAAAGATGCATTATTATCCAGAACCAAAACATTTTAGAACCCAAACTAACGTCAGTAAAATTATAGAAAAAAAAAATCTAATCAAAACTTATGTGGAATTTTTTTGTCCCATTTCAGCTCCTCAGACAAAGAAAAATAATTTGATCTGGTACAAAAAGGAGCTTTTATTTTATTCCTGAAGGGGAGAAAAATGTGTCAGAACCGACCCAGAGCTAAAGGGAAGGTTGACCTTTGACTCTAAAGTCCTCCTCGCTGATCTGTAGACTGTTGAGGTTCTGGTAGCTTCTCTCCTCCAACAAGCTTTTGAGTTCAACCTCTTTATCAGATATTAAATTTAATCTGAAATATTTTTGTGCATCAAGAGAAAAACAGTAGAAATCTAAAAGAAGCAGAATATAGTTTATTTATTCTTCTTGAACCTTTCAGCTGTCTACAAACTGAAATGTTTCCAGTGACCTTAAATTTTTCATGCATCTTGCATTTCCTGTTAGGGATTTCATACGAAGGTTTGTTTCCTGTCTCCAGGTGATCCACTTCCCAGACCTGCAGCGTTTGTCTCTCTCTATGCTGCCAGAACTCACAGACGCCAGCTTAGCGTCAGTCGGCCGGCGCTGCCGCAGCCTCACCAGCCTGTCACTCAGTCACTGTCCAGGCATCACTGACCGTGGGGTTGCCCAGGCGGCGCCGTACCTCCAGCGCCTGCAGCATCTCTACCTCTCCTGCTGTAATAACATCACTGACAGGTAGGGAGCTTGCTGCTGCTTTCTCCCTGAGCCTCAGAGGAACATATACTCCAACTTTTAACCTTTGAACCCTCTGCAGGACGTTGTACCTTCTGATGCAGCACTGCAGACGTCTGAAAACCGTTGACATCTCAAGGTGCAAAAATATCTCCATGACAACGGTGGACCTCCTCCAATCACAGCTGCCGTTTTTGGAAAATGTCCAGCACAAGCTCATAGGCGTGGCTGATCTCCCACTGACTGACTGCTTTTAAAGCAGCGTTCAGACTGAAGCTGCAAGCAGCGCTCAAGTTCGTTCTTCAGGAAACTTTGAAGGGTGCTTGTCTTTTAAAGATGGATTCTATTGGTGTAAAACTGCCATGTGGATCAGCAACGAAGGTCCAAGGAAATAAATTTATATTAAGATATTTAGAAAGAAATGTTTACACAGCTGGAGGAAAACCCAGCAGCAGGATCTGCTTTATTAGGAATTAACTTAATTGTTTTTCCTTCAGCTGATTCCAGATCAGCTTACTGACATCAGTCACAGTTTACTGTTTAGAGCTTCACCTTCATCACATCAGGAAACCAGACCCTCCCTCCTCTTCATATAAGAGATCCACATTATCCAACACTACCATCACTCAGCTGAGATCCATTCTACACAACATCATCTGATGTTAAAGGTTCTGGAAGCTCTTCTGCTAGGTTCTAGTGGGCTGGCTGGGCCGGGCGGCAGCTTTTTCTGGTTTCCTCAGCGGTTAGTAGATAGTCATACTGGAAGAGCTTCTGCTACATTTCTGAAGTTCTTCCTTCAGTTATATGTACTGTGCTGGTACCAACAGGGTCAGGTTGTGGGTTATGCATTCAGTGGTCCAAAGGGTTTGGTTCTGGTGTCATTTGACCGCATGCTGGTTTTTCCTTCAGCAGTCGAGTCTTCAACCTCTGAATAGCCAGAAGACCAGAACCACAGTTAAAGGTATAGTGGAGGATGTTCTTTTTCTAGGTGGATCATCAAAATAAGTGGTCCTCCTAATTGTCAATCATTCTAGTATGTTTACGTAAGGCCTTTCTATGTGCTCGTCCCCATAAGCGGTAGTGAGTCTGACATAGTGGAAAAATTACAAATCTTCTTTTGGAAAGTAAGCTTTTATGAGTGATGCAAACAGCAACTTTTAAACAGAGCATGCACGAGGAGAAATTGGCTCGTGCATGTTCTCATACATGTTTAATAGGTGTTTCCTATCGAGAGCAGGTACATGTTTTTTTTTTTTTTTTCTAAATCGGGCAGGCCTTTCCCAAGATTTGTGAAAATCCTCCTCTATACCTTTAACTGCACAAATGATTGTGGTCCCAACCTGTTCAGAAGGGAACTGTAGCCAGTTCCTTCAGGGGTTTTTTAACCACAGAAACCAGTTCTGCTTCTACCCATCAGTCTGACATCAACATACGCTCCCTAACAGACACTTTGGCGAAGAAGACAGCAGAACTGATTCCTGAACCTCGACAACTTAGCTGGGTTCTGCAGGTTCTTCTCATCCAGAACCTCTGCGGTCAGACTTTATGTACGGATGTCTCTGCTGTTATTTCTTGGTGCTTTCTGTTCCTGCAGCAGCTCTGGTGGCTCAGAAAGAAAAAAAACAGGAGAGTCTTTCCCCCCTTTGAAATCAAAGTTCTGAGCTTGAAAATAAAAAACCTTAGCTTAAAACGAAGCGGCTGTACTTTGTTGTGAAAAAAAAAAAAAAAATCTAACTCATTCAGTTTAATCTCCAGGAAGCAGCTTCAGTTGTCAGACGTCCCTCAGAGATAACCTGCTGAGCTCATCTGTTTGGGTTCTGTCTCATTGAACGGGTCCTTCAGGGTTTGTGAAAAGCATTTATGAAAAAAGAAAAAGAAAATGGAAAACAGATTAAGTCATCGAACATCTATTGCAATCATCTGCGAGGCTCTGACCCCAGGCGCACGGCGCGGGTTCATCGGCTATGCAAAGGTCCTGCTGAAAATCAATTAGAAATGTGACGGAACAAAACAAAAACTGTCAAAACTTTCCGCTGGATTAAAAAAATTTCCTTTGCTTTTTCTATATTGCTGTTTGTTCCTGCTGCTTTATTGATTATTCCACCATCAGACAAAAAGATAAAAAAAACTAAAAGTCTGGAAGGGAGAAACAAACAGGCAGGTTTCTCTTCTCTAATTCAACCTGTTTATTTGTGTAAAAAGCTCAGATTAAAGTAAACATCGCCTCAGCTGCAAAAGACTCGTTAAAAGTACCTACTAGTATAAAAAAAGCAACCTTTATAGAGTTAAAACAGGATTTGATCCATGACAATCAGAAAAATCGGTATCATACAGATTTACAGGAATAATAAACTTAATTTTTGGTAAAAAATAATCAGTTTGGATTGATTCAAAAAGCTCCACAGTTGCTGAACCGCATTAAAACAAGTACCTTTGTAAAATACATCCGTCTGACAGGCTGCAGCTGTTGCTCAGATACCATAATTGGAGATGGAACCGCTTTCTGCAAATGCCCAGAAAGAAGCAGCATCAAAATATAACAACTCAAAGCAGAATGAAGTGTTTTTAGCCAAGCGTGCAGCAATTTTCCTGAAGCTACGTAACGGTCTCCCTATAAAAAGGCTAAAGTGAAAGCACCATCACAGATGTTGCTATTATTGAAGCGTGTTGGGTTTTCCTGATGCAGATCATCGCCTGATTTCTACCCTAAAGATGCTGATTCTGCAGGATTCTCAGAATCTGGTTGACATCTATCTGCTTTTTGGCTCAGATGTTCAGCATCAGGCCTCCTCTAAAAACCTCCAACAATAAAGTGTTAAAATCTGCGCATGGGTCAGAACCAGAACCCGAACACAGGTCCATCCCGTCTACTGCTCCGTCTGGCTGAAGTCGTAGCAGAAGTTGTAGTTGCTCGGTGGTTTGGGGATAATGGGGGCGCTCTCTGGGATGGGTACGTTCTCCAGGTCCAGGAGGCGGAGCTTAATCTCCATAGACAGGAGGATCTCCAGCTCGCTGCGCATGGACTCGCTGCTCATGTCCCTGCCCAGGAGGACGCTCAGTCCATCTGTCCACAAGCAGAACTGACAGGTGGGAGAAGTTAGAACCAACAGAGTAAAGGAGGAGAAAAAAGGGCAGGAATCTACACCAGTCCTACTCACATCAGTCCTAGAGGGGGCGATAAAGTTCAGGCTGTACTCCTCTACATCATAGGTGATGCTAAATGCCAGATCCAAGACTTCCTGCAGGGCGAGAGGTCTCCTTTAATTCAGGAGGTGAACGGGGGAACCATGGAGACAAGAAGCTCACTGACCTTGGTCTGTTTGCCTTTGTTCTCCTTCATGTGAGGACAGTCTTTCCCTGTCAGCAAACCTTTTATATCTGCAACTGGGACTGAAGGAACAATGATGGGAGGTTAATATTCCACAGATTGCAAAGAAAAGAATGCAGTAATGTGGCTACTAATACAGGAAACACTGCATCCCGTCACATGAAAGGAAAATAGATCATAAACTGGGCCGTTCAGCAGAAATAATACAGCAACACAATTTTAAACTTTCTATATATTAATTATATGAATAATTTTGCCATTAGTCGTACTTTCAATGCTGCAGAGAAATTCCTTACATTTAACACTCAAATTATTAAGTTTTACTTTAAATATTAATGCATAAAAATGTATGTGGTTATATTTTAAACAGCAGTGTGCATAGTTTATCATCTGCTCAATTTTTGTATTAATGTTTGAAATTAACACCAAGAAGTTGATAAGCTTCAGCAGGTTTTCATACTTTTAGGATCTTCTACCATTTTGCAATTTCCTGTTTGTTAGGTGTGAAAAAACCTGTAGCAAGCAGGAAAGGAAATCTTCACATTTCTCCTGCTTTGACTCACTCTTCTCCTGCAGTGTTTCTATGGCTGGGTTTTCTGCATCTTCTTCCACGTCGCCGTAGTGAAGCATCTTGTGATTTGGTGACAAGCGGCAGTACCACAGTTTGTCTGGGTGCAGCAGAAATAAACAGACATGAATAAACGTGAGCAGGACAGCTGTCGGAGACCAGTTTGAGGAGCCGGTGTTTGCACGCTCCCACCCTGCCTGCGGCGGCTGCTGATCTTCCTGAACATGGTTCCCTGACACAGCCGGTTGAGCCTCTGCTGGCGGATCAACTCCAGCAGCTCTGGCTTCAGGCGCTCCTTCAGCTCACTGGAAAACAGAACCAATGTTTGGGGTTTCAGAGACATTTCTCCCACACAGAGGCAGTAGGTTCAGGATAAAATGAAGGGAATAAAGCTGCACTGAAGCCCTGTAGCTGCTGCTACGTCGTATTTTTAGCGACAAACAGCTGACAGCTCTCCAAGCTGCTGCTTTTATACGGGTGGAAACTATGCAGAACCTTTAAACTGACATTATGGACCAGATTATCGCTGAACCTGAGGAGCGGGTCCACATGAAAAGATGGATGCCTGACTCAGAGGAAACTGTGGATAAACCTGCAGATACTGACAGGACAGGTGGAGCGAGCGTCTCCTCCTGGTGCAGCCGCTCCGTCTGCCTCAGCTTCAGGATCTCGCTGTAGTTCAAGGCGTTAACTTTGTTTTTGAAGAGCTCCAGGGAGGTCGGCTTGCTGGACAGCGTCCTGGTGATCTGCTCCTTCACCACCTGCATCACCTGCGGACGGACATGAAGAGATTAGGGTGATGGTAACAAGACCTTCCTGCCTTAGAGAGGTGGATCTCATCACCAAGGATAAATCCTCAGTATAGGAGGAAAAAGGTTTTGCATGATGGGAAGAAGGTGTGATGAAGTTGATTCCAATAAAGCTTTTTACCACAATGCTATAAGAGAAGATAAATCATGTTCGACAAACTTAAAAGTTTGACTTTTTTGGTTGAATAGAAATGATGTAAAATCTAAACCTTTTTGACGCCATGAGGGAACCATCTATTCACACCGCGACTCGTCTCTTATCCAGTCCATGACTTCCTTGCTCAATAACATACCTCTAATCACAGGATGTTGTTGTAGTAAAAGAAGAGCACACTCACATTTACAAATAAATGGAACAAAAAAATTCTTTAAAACAGAAATTATATCAGCCAACAGGGAGCTAAGCTTTAATCGGAAGCAACCAGATTCAATAACTGGTGAAGAAAATCAAGTGACAGGCCACTTTTAATAGAAAATAATGAACTCATTCAAAACTCGGAAAATTTGAGGTTCGCTACCCAAACATCTGAAACTGTTCAGATTAAAGAGAACCTGCAGATTTAAAGCAGAGCTATGGTTTAGTGCAGGGTAAGCTAGAGAAACTCCATGAAGGAAGGGGTGAAAGGTGCCTTTAACTTCCCTTTATTTTCACATTAACAGATCAAAAAAATAAAGTCCGATCAGAATTGACTTTATTTAGCTGCTAAATATTTGTTCACATACAGTTATTCCCAGAAGGCCTGATCTCTGGCTGAACTCTGAGCTGTTCAATCATAGCAATTAACACAATAAGGCTGATAATTCTCCATCAATCTGAGGCTCGTCCATCATCACAGTGTGTGTAGCAGCCGGTTAAACTGCATTTCAGATCTATAACCATCAGTGAAACGGGGAAAAAAAAAATCAATAAGGCTCCATCTCTACAGTCTGCTGACCTCAATCATTCAACTGATCGTCCTACAGAGCGGATCCCAGCCCAGATTCCTCATCAGTAGCTCCTGATGATGGTAGACCCAGACTGGGACCATCAGCCTGTGTAAAACATGCATGAAGACGGAAACAAACCACTAAGGCGAACATTAGGGCTGCAACTAACGATTATTTTGCAAATCGCTAAATCCAACTCCTATTTTATGATTAATTGATTAATAATGGGATAGCCAAAGGTACCTTAAAGGAGATCTTTACTAAACCAGGTGAAACTAGAACCTTTCCACTCGAGGGGATCTGGATCTACTAAATCACGATTAATAGTTTCAGCCCTAACACACATCCTCCAACATTAAAATGAACTCTGATTTTATTCGTCAATATTCTGACGCCAAAACTGTTAGAAACAAACCAGCTGAATTTCATCTAAGGAGCGAAAATCCGTCCCTGCCTTACCTCCATGTTCTCTTCTCTAAATAAGGTCCAGTTCAGAGAGAGATCGCATCCATGGCAGCAGAAGAACGGGCCTTTGGCTGTTTGGTAAACAGACACCCTGATCATCATCTCCCCCCTTCCAAACTCCACGTGATCATGTGGTGTCACTGAGCTCAGCCGTCCAATAGGAGGGATGCTTCTGTTCCCTGACGCCCTCCAGCACACGTATGACCATCGGCACACGGATGTGTTCACACCCTTACAAGTTTGTTTATGTAGAAGCATCAGTCACGCCTCCACCTGCCCTCCTCTCCTCCTTCTACTGGTTCGACACATTTTATATGAAATCTCTGTCCTTTTAGGTCAGTTTGGAGGTTTAAAGGTGAAATCTGGAGAACACCCATCGAGGTCAGATGGCCTCTTCAGACAATCAGTTCTGATCCAGACCTAGATACGTAGCTCCAGTCTTTTCCAGACCGTGCCGGCCTTGTTTTTCCCCCTCTAACATACTGATTTATGTTCCCAGTGTTGTGGTGTCATTCCTGCTAATTCCAGGGATGCTTTGTGTTCCTTGTTTCTCGCTCCGTTTCCAGCCGCTCACTACGTTTCTCTTTGTCCAACCTAAAGCCCCTTTGTCCTCGCCCCAGAGCCCCCTGGGTAGCCGACCCGGACAAAAAACAAAAGGTCCACTCTGGCAGCCTGGCGCTCCAGGAAAGGTCAGGAGGTGGCTTGGTTGAGGGGAGCGCCCTGCAGACGACGGACAGCAGAGGATGACTTGGCAGCACTGAGACTACAGCCTAACATACGCCTCTGCTTCACTCACAGGCTGGAAATCAGCACAAAGTCTCTGATTAAACTCATCCACAGTAGACTTTGTTGAACATTCAGAAATAAAACAGATGAACCTTTTCCAGATGAATCGAGTCCAGAACGGCTCATCTGGTTCATTCAGTGTTCTTAGCCTGCCAGATATTGTTCTGCTTGGAATTACAACGGTGCTGGAAGATTAAATCCCTCCTCAGCTTCCTAACATCACAGTTTTTTAAATCGAAACTGACTGGTAACAGGAATTCTTTAAAATGTCAATGATTTAGTCTAAAACCCCCATAGAACCAAACACATATTTGGATTTATGGCCCAAAAATCATCACATCTCAAAAGACCAACAACTTCCTGAACTCTTCTCTTGATGCAGGTTTTTAAGGCTAATGCCGATTATTTTAATATTAAACATATCTCCGATGTGTGCCGCCCATATTTGTGGGTTGAATCTTAGATTTTAATACTACTTATTCCTATCCTTACATGATTAAAATGAGACAATGATAAAAATATTTTACACAAGTCTTAATTCAGACAAAAAAAAACAAACATTTAGTAACAAATCAACTAAATAATAACAGTGGAGAGCAGTGGAAGGAGCAACAATACATGCGCTTCATTTGATCTCAAAGTATGGCTGCAACCAAACTTTTCTTGCTAGGCGCCAATTTTGTTTGAAAGAAACTTGTTGCGCCCCCCTCTTGATCTCTAACCTGCTAGAATGTTTTCAACATTTAACAATAAACTAAATATTGAAAAAGAAATAACTACAATCTAAACACACATCACTAAAACTTCCACCTTTGAAGCACATTTATTTTAAGTTTAGCCATTTATTTTACCGTAGAATCAAGCAATAGATTTTTTAAAAACTCTCAAACTGGGACTGTTATTCTAATTCATCTCTGCTACAATCCCCTGCAGTTACTCTTTACCACCCCTAGGAGGAGTCTCCCCCAGTTTGGGAACCACTGCACTAATTATCCGACCAATACAGGCATAAATTCACTGGCCGGCGTCTCGTTCTTCCTCTGCTACTGACAGACACCTTTATGCACGTCCATAAAAGTCAGCCTCAGCTAAAATATCAGGAAGGTCCAATCAGGACAGGTTCTCTAAAGAAGCCTGAAACTCTTTAAACAGAAAGTTTTTAATCAGTTACTCACACATATATATATTGAGCTTGGAGTCAGAAAATTAAGAGTTTCAGCTTTTGCTAAATTATTTCAGCATTACTAATGAAAAACGTCTAAAGCAGGATGGCAGACTGAGCAACAAACCTGCCATCCAGTTTAGGCACAAGGCAAGTGGCACTTTACAATATATCACTACTGATCACTTAATAAAAAAACATAAAAAAAACAGGAGGGAATGAAATGATACCATCCCTCTGTAGACGAATGGATATATAGAAACGCCTCTTCAAAGAGACATTTCTATTTTTCTATCTGAAGAGTTTTAACCAAACATCCAATCCAGCTTCGGATCTCACCTTGTCAAAGTCCTCCTGCGTTGCTCTCATCTCCTTCCAGGTTTTGTTGAGCAGTTGGATGCAGACGCAGAAAAGCTCCTCCAGGAGTCGGTCCTGACTGAAGAAGATGGGGTGGTAGTTGGATCCTGTCTCTGAGGCTGCAAACAGAAACAAACATGCTCTGAATGTTAGAAGAGTAAAAAGAAACCAATGAGGAATGGCTGCAGCTGCTGGAGGCTTACGAGGTTCTCCTATTCGAAGGATTTCACAGAGGATCAGTGTGAGCTGGATGCTGCTCCTGGCGAAAGGACACTCGTGTTTGTCCTCTCTGCTGCTATTCTCCAGCACGAACTGCAATGCATCAAACACATCATAAAGTCCTGAATCAAACTGCAGCTTTCCTCTGCACAAGCAGCTATAATAATACAATAAAAATACAATAGAAGCTGGAATGCTTCTATATTAATGATCAAATCTTTATGTTTAAAAAGGATGAAACACAAAGCTCTGCTCACTAGAGCCGCAGTGATCGAGGCCTCTAGCGACTGTTCCAGTAACCAGCACATTCTGCATACATTTCATTGAACCACTTAAGCTAAGTTTAAGAGTTTCAGAAATGCATGAAGAAAATGCAAGTAAATAAATCCTTCAACACCTTTTAAAAATGAAAATCCAAATTTTTAAAGCATAACCAAACATGTCATGATTAATCCAATCCACTGTTTCAGCCCTACCCTGCTGTAGGCGTCAGGGTTACGGTTAGCGAAGTAAAACATGGTGTCCAAAGCTAGAAGACCAGGAGGTGTCCGCACCAGGTCCTGACCCGGGTTACTGTTGTTCTGTGACGGACAAACACAGGTTAGAGAGGGGAGACCAGAGCTCAAATTAAAGCTCCTGAATCCAAATAGATGCTTACAGAAAAACCCAGTTTCTTAAACTCTTTGGCACAAAGTGAGCGCCGGCGTTCATGACTGAGGCTGTTCTCGCTTTCTGTCTCAAACGCCGCCTGCCGCAACCCGTGAAGGATTTCTCTCTGTTCCTGGACAACAGCAGACAAACACGCTTTTTAACACACAGCAGATGAGGTCAGTTTCTAAAACATTGTTATGTTTCATTAATGAACTGGATGGATGGATGGATGGATGGATGGATGGATGGATGGATGGATGGATGGATGGATGGATGGATGGATGGATGGATGGATGGATGGATGGATGGATGGATGGATGGATGGATGGATGGATGGATGGATGGATGGATGGATGCATGGATGAACAGAACATAAAGGCTTGAAGTTCTGCCTGCTTCTCCCTTTAGGAACAAAAACAGCTTCACCCAGATTCACCAAAGAAACTTTGTGACGTCCCACCTGGCTGTAACAATCCAGCGGCGTTCTCATCCGAGCCTCCAAATGATTCAAGGTGACCGATTGCAGGACGTAGAGGTAGTGAGCCATCTCGTCCTGGACCGGACTAGAGCTCAGGATAATATTCTGCACAGCATCAAACACAGCAGTTTATTGGACCTGAACGCATCTTCCGCTATCTAATGCCTCAGAGAGCTGAAGATAGAAGAACTATTCACCTTATAAATGTATGAACGGAGGTTCTTCTTATTCAGAAATGCAAACATTTCCTGGAAGAGAGAGAAGGAAAAAAACTCATATGTGACTGCAGGGACAGATTCTGACAGGAGGTGGCGACCGAGCCTCTGAGACTGAACAAGGGTTCTGTATGGTGAGAAACTTTGACCTCTACGTGGTACAAGCATCTCTGGATCAGCAGCTTTTGTTCACCACTGATCTACTGATTATAAGGGTGGATTTGTAGAACTTGTGCAGAATAAAAAAAACAATCGGAGTGTGGATGTGAGAAACAAAGAGATCCAGACAAAAGGGAGAAGAAGGAATGGGTGAATGAAGGAACTGTTGGTGCACAATGAGAGACTAACAGGAGGAGAACAGAGGGGCAGAGGGCCTCCTCTGTTTGAGAGAAAGCAGAGACGGCCGGACAGAAAAAAAGAGGGATGGATCACATCCAAACTGTCTGAGGAATGCTCTGCCTGCAGGAGTCATAAACATGTCAGCAATAGACACACACGTTTTGCTTATATTTACTACCAGACCTCATAGAGATGCTTCAATCCATCAGCTAAATATTCCCCATCTCTCCCAGGATTTGCTCTGATCTCTTTTATTAAATAGATTTTAAAAAATCCATCAGATAGTGATGACAATGTATCATAAATTTGAAATCATCAAATATATAAAAATCAGACTAATCAGATAGTGATCTAATTAAACACATAATGGGAGTTAATTTTAGTGATTCTGCCGGCTTCGTTTTTGCGTCTCATCTCTATTCTATTCTGGGAGATCACAATCAAATATCCGACCAATAAAAAAGGATTTTAAAAGCAAGGGTTCTGTTCTGCTTGGCAACTGTTGTCCAGCACACAGCCTGCATCTGCAAGGAGGGGAAGAAACTAAAGATCATCGCTAAAGAAGCTAGCAGTTCGCAGACCACTGCAACCAAGCATATTTATATAAAGGTGAGTGGAGGGAAAAAGTGTGGTAGAAAAAGTAACACACTGGAATCTGTTATTTATGCATCTGTGTAATTAATGTATTTTCTATTTTGTATGGATGTATTTTTATCACTTGTTCCAGAAATCTTTTGCTTGAACAGTGAAAAATGGAGAAAAAAAACAAGCTAGAAGGCAGAACCACTTTAATCCCGATGTATGAAATTAACCTGTAGGAATCATTGGCGTAACGGTTAACATTATATTGTGTCATGTAAGTTAAATATTTGAATTACACATAAAAGGGGCTAAAATGTGAAGCTTATGTCTGATTAGTGCATCCATTTTTGTTTATTACTAAAGGAGAATCTCTGCTTTTTGGATGATGAAGAGGGTTACTGTGCAGCGGCAGGAAGCAGCAGTAACTCAGAGCCCTGTCAACAGAACCCCCCCCCCATTCATCTGCAGGCTTAAAGATAAAACAATATCAAAGATGAGGAGTAGAATCAGCACCTTTCTGTCTGAGTCTTCAGCTGTTTGCAGTAAGGCCATAAGGAGAGCCATGGCTTTGGTCTGGATCTGCTGGTTAGCCCTGAAATAAAACAGAGGGTTAGAGGAACCTGCAGCTTTCAGATGATTCTCTTTTAGATCACAGAGGATACACAGTTTCTACATTAAAAGCTTCCTGTTCAGCTCCTCTGCGCCTCTTATCAGCTGTCAATCTCGTAAGAAACAGACGCTACTCTGCTTTTATCGGATCATAAACACCTTCAGAAGTACATTTACTCTCTGAGTCACAGTAACTTCTACAGAAGTCAGACGTTAATTTTTATCCGGTAAGAAGATATAAATTAAATATCCCCCAATAATTGTACGACCTGGTGAGAGGATGAGAGAGGAACCAGTCTGGACAGACTTACACCTGCAGGTGAGCTATAAGCCTCTCCATGGTGACCTCCTGTTTGACCTGAAGGAAAAGTTTGCGGCTGCTCAGAACCATGTTCTCCAGGATGTCCAGGGACACCTGCTGCATCGCCTCATCTGTCGACTTGTTGACAAAGCTGGCAATCTGACCAGGAAAAATCCCAAGAAAGGAAGAGAAAAGCAGAGAAAACTTAGGAAAAAAAACATCATCTTCTAAAAAAAATATATACCTGATAAAATCGAGAAAGTGGAACCTTCTTGATGAAGACAGTCGAGAGGTTCTCCCATGAAACTATCCCATGATCCATCAGCTCCATGAAGCCGGTCAGAGTGTAGGTCATGATCTGGTTATTTCTGGACAGAAGGAGTCACAGGTTGGACCTTTTCAGAACAGCTCTAAGAATAAAAGCCAGTTGTGCCAAAAAAGGCTTCTTAACCCTTTTCACATAAGAGATAAGATAAACTTTATTGATCTCACAGTGGAGAAATTCGCTTGACACTTGTCTTCAAACATGGCAGTAATGAGGTCCAGGTGGAGACAGTGAAACTCAAGCGTTTAAACCAAAGGTCATTTTTAAACGGACATGATTAGTTTGGGTAGATTTATTATTATTTGAAAACACATCAACATATCTGATGTTTTATCTAAAAACTTTAAATTATTTGTTCTCTCTGCTCCCCTAAACACCAAAATCTGGTGTAATATGGTTATCCATTCTACTTTTTTACGTTCCCTCCAGCTCCTTTCTAGTGGGAAACGAGGGAGAAGAGTATGGCCGACCGCAGTACGTCCTCAGACAGAAGATACTTACTCCTTAGAGTCCTCAACTATTTTGACCAGTAGGACATGTCCATCTCTGCTGATGAACTCCTGAGCGAAGGTCACGTCTCGCGAAACGCTGGCCAGCTCTTTCAGCGAATCACAGCGCACCCCTCCATCTGAGCTCTGGATGCCCTTGAACAAGTCTTCTGCCCTGCGACCCTGAGTTCAGAGGGCAAGCGCAGGAAGACGGATCAGAACCAGCTTATGTCGGACGTCTACTGAATCTCAGATTTACTTAAAGGAATAGTACACCCAAAACATGATTAGCCTTCATTTTCTACTCACCCCCATGCTGAACAACACTCTGGAGTACTTTTTTGATATCTCAAATGCATCTGGAGATCTGGGAGGCTTCTTGCTGTCTGCTGACATTCAAATAATGGAGGTCTATGGTGTCCGAGACAGAAAGGTCCATAAAAGTCCACAAAAAACGTGTCAATATTCCACCATACTGCTCGTCCAATGTATTCCAAGTGTCCTGAGTGGGTAGCATCCAGAATTTACTCGAAACGAAGTCATTTAGAATGTTTTTAGAGCATAAACAGTAGTGTATAGGATTTCCTGAAAGCGCGCACATGCGCGTTCACGAGCCTACGGAAGCCGGCAGACCAAACCAGCGCATTCAGCTCGGCAAAGAACTCCTGCTCTTCCTCAACACTGAAGTCCTCAGACATTTTTCTTTCGTTGTTTCTTTCTTTACACAGGTAAACAGCACATTTCTTCTTCTACGCTTGCATTATTGGCAGAGCAGACGCTGAATGCGCACTTTCATCTGGTTTGTCTGCCGGCTTCCGTAGCGTCGTGAGCGCGCATGTGCGCGCTTTCAGGAAATCCTATACACTACTGTTTATGCTCTAAAAACATTCTAAATGACTTCGTTTCGAGTAAATTCTGGATGCTACCCACTCAGGACACTTGGAATACATTGGATGAGCAGTATGGAGGAATATTGACACGTTTTTTGTGGACTTTTATGGACCTTTCTGTCTCGGACACCATAGACCTCCATTATTTGAATGTCAGCAGACAGCAAGAAGCCTCCCAGATCTCCAGATGCATTTGAGATATCAAAAAAGTACTCCAGAGTGTTGTTCAGCATGGGGGTGAGTAGAAAATGAAGGCTAATCATGTTTTGGGTGTACTATTCCTTTAACGCATCAGAGATCTGCCAATCATCACTACTGAAGACATCAAGCCTCACTAGATGTTCTGAAACTCCACAGCTTCCCCCTAGGCCACAGTCACTCTGCTGTGAAGAATCTGGGTCCAATTTTCTAGAGCTCTCTCAAACTGGACAAATGGACCTTTTGTTAAATTCTTAAACTGAGGTTTATTTATGGCTGTAACTGAATCAGAGTGAAACAGAACTTCAGAACCAGCCTGAATCTGAACCAAGGCCTGTTTCCTTCTGGATTGCTTGTTCCAGATGGTCTCAGCATCACTCAGTAACTTGTGTTTCTCCTTTCTTATGTCCAGTTTAGTTCTGCAGTGATGCAAACTTGAAACAATACAAAACAAAAACAAGAACTTTCCAATCTGATTGATGGTTTTTGAGTAAAACAATCATAATATTTCCATGTGGTTCCAGTGTTAGCATGTATTTACTTCAATCAGTCAGAAACACGAGAGCTTTTTTACTGATAATAATCCTCACATTAATTTGATATTAAATAAATATTTATCCTGAGATTCATCTAGAATCTACTTGGGAGGAAAACTTTCATCATTCAGACAGATTTTTGTTTGATTATCTGTCGGATCAGGATGCTGGTTAGTCACATCTAATAACAATAAATAAAGCAGCTGAAACCCATGAAGAAATCTCTGCTAGTTAAAAATGCTCCTGGAAGAAAAGCCCAAATATAAACACATCTGGCTTTAGTCAGTTAGTGTGAATAATCAGAGTCCAACTCCAGCATAAAAGGCGCTAAACTGTAACACAATGCACCACAAAGTCCAACCAAACATTCTGCTGAATGCAGGAGTTAAAGGACATGGAGGAGATAAAAACAGCAGGAATGTGAGAAATGAGGTGGTGCGGCAGGACGGCTGCAGACTCACCGGTGCCTTGGTCAGACGCAGAATCCAGCCGTTCTTTATGTCCAGGCGGTTCTGGAAACACAGAGAAGGTTTAAACACAACCTCAGCGCTGAGAGCAGGACAACAGGGAGATCATCTGAACCACCTTATGATCATTACAGAAGATCGGTTACCGACAATCATCAGAGCGGCCCCGTTAGTTTGGACCAACATCACCAGCACCAAGATCGATCTATTTATTACTCGCAGGAGAGTTAAACACATCCGACGACTCAAATGTGACATAATGAAGAAGCTGCTCCTAAACTGAACCATCTGTATTTAGCTGCAGATGGGTCACAGATGATATCCTGCTGAGATGCATCAAAGTTAATTAAAACAAGCTGATCTGTATTTCAGAGAGGAGAAGGCCTGACACTTTAAAGGATTTTTTTCATGCTTAGACATGTGTTATTGGTGGAAAATCAGAAGTGTGAGAATGGCTAGGTTGGCTAGGTTTGTTCGAACCAGAAAACCCTCCCCTTGGATTAACATTAATCATGGAAGGGTGCTAACTTTAGCCCACCTTGCTATCATTAGACTCTCCACCAAAAGGGACGATTCCAACAATCAGGGACTCGACTGCAGGCGTTCACGGTGTCTCTGCTTGTGCAGCTATTTTGGTCTATGGTGTAGGAGACCAGAAAACAACGGTAAACAAACCATGGCTAACTGCTACTGCAGCTAAAGCTGCATCCACAAAAAGTTCTTGCTTGAACACCCTACGAGAAACAAAGGGGGTCTAATTTTTTCATTTAAGAATGTTTAAACGTGACTTTAAAGACAATTTCAGAAGTATTTTAGAAGTAAAACCCCAGGTTATGAATCCTTTAAAGGTCACCAAGAAGCTTAGGAAAGTTCCAGCTGTTTCCTCCCACATTCCTTTCTGACACCATAATTTAAAATAAGAGACGTGCTTTCATCTTCTTTAACACCCAAGGAGTTGACAGAGCAGCAGCTGACTGATGGATGTGTGATAGTTTCATGTTAACAATAGAACCATGAGAGGAACTGGGTTGTGCAGAATGACATCAGACTGATTTAGCAGCGTGTAATAATTTTAGTGTGAAGAGGTATGACTGACCGACTCAGTGATGTACATCTGCGCTCCTTCGGAGTACTGCAGGGCGTAGTTGTCGGGTCCTGGAAGATTCCAGCTGAACACAAACAGAAACAGAATATAATCCATTAGATGGACATCATCTATTCACGCTTCACACTTTGTGAATGGTTTAATCTTTGTTTTCTGAAGGAACATTGAGTTTTCTTTAAACATTAAACTGTGATTGGGTTCCTTTCAGGATCCCTTTTTAGCTATGAGCTGAAATACAAAAAATAACTCTGATGGAAGACTTTACTACAGCAAACAGACCCAAGACTGTAAGATGTTATATGCAAAAGGAGGGACACATCTTTGAGACAGGGGGACATAGACTAAAGGCCTAAAATATTTTTCAATCTTTTCTTTTCAAACCTCTAAAGATGTGGAAAAAAACTTTGATTCTTTACTTTCTAGACTCATCCACTCTGGGATGATCCAAAAAGGCAAATTAAATATGGATCAAGATGTTTTAAACCTTTTGCAAAGAGCTGCAACTAAGTAATTTAAAACAGTCCAATAAGTTAAATAGCATCATTGTTTTATCAATGCTGACTGCCATTTCATGAGGTCACAGTTGATGCATGCCCAACTTACCCATCACACACTTCCTTAATGACAGCAGACAGAGGCTTCTTCTGCAAAACAAACAAAAACAAAACAACAGTCAGATCCTGGTCCGTCAGCATCAACATGAAGCCCCACAGCGAGTCCATCTGGTTGCAGACCAGAGGAAGGAGGAAGTCCTCCCACTGTCAGAAAGGGCCTCGGTGCCAACATCCCATCCTGGTTGTAAACAAACCCAGACAGACTTTCAGCTACCCTGCTATTAGTGGTCCGTACGCGGTTACGCAGTCAAAATGTGTTCTGGTTCTGCGGTAGACCCATTGGATGGTGTGTCATTAGTGGCAGCCAATCAGATGTGTGTGGTAGAGAGGCTTAGGCCAATGGGGGAGTTCCTCTGATGTGAGGGGTGGGCCGTGATCAATCAGCCAGTCCTAGATAGTAAAACATGGGGACTGTTTGAGATGAATGAAATCCCAGGAATTGAAGAAGTTTGTTGACCTAAGGGCATGAGTGAGGTGACTTGAGACCTCCTTCCATTCTCTCCACCTTTACAACCTTCAACTGAAGATCAGCATCAGTGTGACACCAACCCACCTCAGCGTCAGCTCCAACTGGCGTGTTAATACTTTTATTTTTTTATTAATACTATTATTAATACCATTATTAGTAAAACCAAATCACCTCTTATGTCATGATACTGAGCTTCACAGAAAGCTGTATTAAATGAAGCACTGTTATGGTCTACAAACAGTCCTCAACAGCCCTCCTATAGAAAGGACTCCCCGGTTGTGCAGAGGGTAGCACTGTTGTTTCCAGCAAGAAGGTTCCAGGTTCAATTCCCAGCTACATATTCTCTCTGTGCATGCTTGGGTTCCATCCAGATACTCATGACTGTTATTTGGCTACTCTAAATTGTCCTTAGGTATGAGTATGTGTGTGGTCTTGTTTTACCAACAATGTGAGGGAAGTATTTTGAAAAATATCCTACATGTGAGGACTTAGAGGTACATATGGGGACATTCAACTGCTCCCTATATGGTAAAGTTCTGTTCTTTGAGTTGGGGTTAGGTTTAGGACTAAGGTGTGAATTCAGTTTAGGTTAGGATTAGGTATATCTTGGTAATAGTTAGGGTTAGGGTAAGGGTAAGGGTCTGGCTTAGGCCATATAAAATTAATGCAAGTCAATGAAATGTCCCCATATGTCATGAAAACAAAGCCGTGTGTGTGTGTGTGCATTGTGAATTTTTCGTGTTTCTGTTTTGCCCTGTGACAGATTGGCGACCTGTCCAATGTTTACTCAGCCCCTTGCCCATAGACACTAACGGAATAAATAGAAGAAAATGGATGGATCTAGGACAGGAGATACCTAGAATAGTTAATAAATCTGATCGTCAAGAACAAACAAATCTAAACGCATATTTCATAATTCAGGCCCATACACTAGATGGTGAGTGGTTTAGGAGGTTTGTCGCTAAATCAAAAGTATGAATAAGTTTGAGCCTAAGCTCAATGAGTAATAACCTGGTCAGAACGTACCAGAGACCTTCATCAGATTTTATCCTCCTAGTCTTCAAAAAGAAGAAATACGTATTTTCACCTGAACAACAAAACAGGAAACAGATTCTGACCTGGTCCAAAAAATACATTCTATGTTCTGCTAAAATCCATTGTGATACCGTTGATACATACCAGTGTCATTAGGAAGTTTGGAAGAGAAAAAGGCCCATAGCATCACAGGTCCTACACTGTACATTATGTTTCTTTCCCATTATTACTGAATCTGTTCCGGTCGGGACAAACTGGGTCAGTTCAGTACCAATTGGTTCATTTTCATTAAAACTGTAGCATCTCAGGGCAGGCGGGCTCCATCTACAGTCCAAAGTGATACAATTAGCAGAGACACCACCAGAACAACAGCCTAGACTGACTGCAGTCAGTCAGAGCAAAAAGCGGAGATCAAGTGAAGGCTGTGAGCAGCTAGATGAAGCACTATGGCGACGCCCAGGAGGATCAAACAGAAGAATAAGTAAGAATAAAGTTAGAGGGAATGTGAAAGGAACTTAATGCTAACTAATGCTAGATGGCTGTACTAACAAATGGAACCGTTGCTTTCTTAACTGGCTACTTGACTGTGGCTCCTATAATTTCCAAATCAAAGTAACGCAGCAGTGATGTCATATGACTGGCGGTCACTGATTGGTTAGTAGCTGTGTCACCACTTAGAATATTTTTTAAATGGTGTCTAGCATGTTTTCTTTTTATCCTGTACATATCCAGGGTGCTTCATCACTCTCCTTTTGACCCGACGAGAACCTCTGAGTCTGATCAGAACAAAGCTAAAAGGATCCGTTAAAATTCAGCAGGGTAACGTTTGTGATGGTAGGAAAAAAAACCTGTAGCTATGGTGACTTGGCAAACCTCAGATGCATCTATTTTAAAGCCATTTACTTATGTGCAATGGATGTAAACTTCAAATTCAGTTTAGATAAAAATAAATGATCAGAAAATAAAGAACAGAACAGAACTGAAAGTAGAGATGCAGTCATCGATTTGTTTCTGACTGAAAAACATTTAAGGGACTAGATCACTGTAACTGCATTGCTGCATATGATTGGACCATAATGCTGCATCAGATCCATTCATCCGATATCAGATCCAGCTAATTAGTAGGTATCAGAGCTCATATCTGATTCAATTATCTCTACAGCTAAATCCTGCAGTTGCAGCGAGTATCCAGCATACAACATGGGAAGCACCTCCTTGCAGGTTGGATTTGATTTCTATTAAACACCAACTATATGCAGATTTCAGAGCTGAATGCGCAGCAGACAGGTTTTAGGTGAGAGGGAGCCACTTTAAATACAGAGGCACAAATATTATGCCATAGAAATCCAAACGTCACCATCAACGTTCTGAATATGAGAAGAACGGAACACAGAAAAGGAAACTGAAACCGAGCATGCCCACTCCGTCTGTGGCGGACGTGTTTGAAAAGGCAAGGAAGTTTCCCAGAGATTCTGCTAAGGTCAGGGGCTTAACAAAAACATATTAGCCATAAATAAATATTTTGGTACTTTTGTCATTCAATAATTTATAATTTATTGAAATGCCTTGAGTTAAAAAAAATGAGTTTTTTTATAGGTTTAGTACACATCAAAGCTAAAAATGCTATTACGGTATTTTAACATCTGACATAGTAACTTATTTCAGTGTTTCAGCCTTGGTTTACTAACTTTGCCTTTTCAGCCAGTATTTTTTTCATTTTAGTTCATCCCTAATGTTAAATATAAAGACCTGTAAACAAATATTTATGTGTCTATAGCTCCTTTCACATTTAACGCATCATTTAAAATAATAGATTTTTGTAATACATGTAATATCAAACCCAGCCTGGCTCCTCTGCTGTGTTCCTTTAAATGTGATTGAGCCGAATATGGAGACTCTGAGGTTAGAGACGAGTTCTGCTCATGTCATCATGTCCGTCTTCATCAGTCGACACGTGGTGACATTTTGGGGTTATATTTATCGTCTCATTCAGCGGCTGCTAAACCCAACCAGGCTGTAACAAGGCGGGGAGCAACACCTCCACAGCTTTATCGCCTGCGACTTCTCATCTCTGCAACCAAACCTGACCTGCTTTATACTGACCATGAGCCATAAATAACATTGTACAACGGCAATGTGGCTTCCATGAAAACCATGTTTCATACCTGCTTAGAGGTTGTCATTTCTAAAAGCTTATTTTTAATAAAAAAATAAAAAGTCTATTTAGCTCACAGCAGGATACTATAAAACCATGCTGTAGCTACATTACTGCTGAATGTTTGAGATAAATCCACATTTTTCACATTCCTCCAGGGTTTCTGTTTTTAATCGGAACCGACACCCTGGTTCTGAGACCTTGGACAGTGTCTGTGCCTTTCACAGCCGTCTGATTCCAGCAGACCGCTTCTCTTATTGAAAAGCAGAATATGAGTCCATATCAGCTGCATCATATCAGTTGGTTTCTCTCCAAACAGTCTACAGTTTATTAAAATTGATCCACCTGATGATATATTAGTGACACGTTGGGCAAATTTCCATTTGGCTCTTGCATGAAGCAGGTCCATGCAAACAGCTAGGGTCTACAGAGATAAATATTGACACAAAGTTTGGATCTGTTTGTCCTGCAGGAAACATCTAGAGAGCAACATTATAAGAACTTTTTAAAACTGAGGCGACCAGCTCTACAGCGTAGCCAAAAGATTCACAGATTCCTCAGACATTTTGTAAGTTCCTACTGAAAAATATTTTTAAAATAGCCTTATTATTTAACCCTTAATGACTAAAACATCAATTGATGAGCAGACTGACAGCTAGCTAATATAGTGCCGATAAATCTATGAGCCTTTAGGCTATTTTACTGAATTTACTTTGTGTCGTTCGGCAGATGTGACATCAAGCGTGTCCATGGTAAATGAGACTAATCTAGCAAACTATTTAAGAGTTATATTCAAGATTAATTTTGTTAATACCCAGACTAAACTCAGGCACCATTGGAAATTTTATGAAAGATGAAAAAGGTCTAAAAAAAATACTTTTTAAATATGATTGTGAGCAAGAAAAAAAACAGTAGTATTTTGCAGTTCTGTGTTTTAGCCACAGGTGGCAGTATCATTAGAAAACTCTAATGCTACGTTCACACCGGACGCAGCAAAATCGCGTCTGCTGCTTCATTTTTGCTGTTTGTACCAGTTAGTTCTGACGCGCGGCTTAAGCAGCTTTGCTGCTCTGGCTGCACGGTGCAAAAGTGTGTCTGACGCGCGTTGGGCGGAGCTTCACTATCCTTTCTTTGCCTTGCAGCTATATTTGCTGTGATCAGTGGGAATAAAGTAGTTTAAATTTTTTTAAGTGAGAAAATACACCTGAAAATGTAATCAGTGCAGTCAGTTCATCCAGATTATCATCCCACCTTCTAATATTTTTTCTGTCGGAGCCGCTCAGACCCCGACATACCAGCGGTGCGCCGACAGTAGGAATCCCTTCAACAGCAGCCTCTGGCCGGGTCGCCACCTCGCAGTTCACCGCGACAGCTGGTAGGTGTTTTTCATCTAAATAATCTAAACTGCAGGCACCAGGATAATAAAAGCGAACATATTCTGCCGGCAGATTTCTGCATTTTAAGTTAATTTATGCCTGCTGCGTCCGGTGTGAATGCAGCATAACACCTCTTTAAGAGAAAAACAGCATGTTCAAAGTTGATGTTTTAAAAAGGTGCGTTGTCACATTATATGCCAATACAAAAAAAAATAATAATGAGTTTTATCCCTTTTGAGCCTAAATGGGATTTCAGCATCTGACGTGATGTGCAGATAAAAACATGGCACCATCTACTGGCAATACCACAGAACTATCAGAAATCCAGATGGTGTTAATTGATGCATCTACTAAATAGAGTCAGACTGTATTGCAATGCCTCGGTAAAGCAACAATAAGATTTTAATAAAAGGTATGATGGAGGAGTTTCACAAAATTTTTAAAAGACCCGCGCTCTCCATTAAAAAAAAAAAAAAATGCACATACACAAGCCTTTACCCAGTCCCGAAAGGGAACGTCTAGTAGACGCGTGCAAGAGCATGTATATGTTTAAAAGTTGCTGTTTGCAACGCTCATACAAACGTACTTTCCAAAAGAAGATTTGCAAGTTTTCCACTATATCAGACTCACCCCCGGTGAGGGACGAGCACGTGGGACGGCCTTACGTGAACATATCACCATGTCCATCCATCCATTTTCTGACATGCTTAATCCCAAGTGCGGTCGCAAGGGGTGCTGGGGCCTATCTCCAGCTGTCTACGGGGGAGAGGCGGGGTACACACTCTGGACAGGTCGCCAGTCCATTGCAGGGCAACACAGAGACAAACCGGACAAACAACCATTCACTCACACACACACACCTAATGAGAATTTAGAGAAGCCAATTAACTTAATAGTCATGTTTTTGGACTGTGGGAAGAAGCCGGAGTACCCGGAGAGAACCCACGCATGCTCAGGGAGAACATGCAAACTCCATGCAGAAAGACATGCAGAATATAACTAAGAATCTTCTTGCTGTAAGGAAGCAGTGCTACCCACTGCGACACTGAGCGTGATCCACCCGAAAAAAGAACATCCTGCACTATGCCTTTGAATAAACTGATCTATACCAAGTCCAAGTTCTAGAGAACCCTACCCCTACCAAACTAAGCAGAGACACAGCATCATAAACACATATATCTTCATTAAGAAACTGAGCAAAAATAAAGTATAAACACCAAAACAAGGAATATTAAGCCAGCAGGACGTGACAATCTTTCAAAAAAACTTTGTATACCGTAGAAGTCAACTACTACATATAGAAAATGACATTTAAATGTAACGATGCGCCTTTAAGCTTCTCCAGAACCACCTAGCTAACTTGTCTACTGGGTTCCTTGGTCTCTATAATGTGGGTTGTTCCCTCTTGTTCTTTATAGAGCTTCTAAGCCCAGAACAAAAACAGCTCCAGTTGGTTCTGGTTCAGACATTCATAGTAACGCTGTATACAAATTATCGACTGTGATTCATTTTTATTTAATGGTTTATTAGACAGAAATTTGGTTCACCCAATTATTTGATGACAGTCGAAGCTTCTTTCAGTATCTTAGTGTTGCCGCCGTCCAGTAGAGGGTGCCGCTGTTCTTAAATGTTGAAGAGGAATCGTAAAAGAGCAGTAACGTTAATGGATCCAGAGTCGCTCTGGGATTTTAGTCACTCTTTAATGGCTCCAAGGATGCAGAATGCACTTTATTCGGTTCTGCTTGTAAATATAAACACTCGATAAACTCCTACAGCTATTACCTAAATAGCGCCAAGTTACATGGCAGAGCAGCATCATTAAACACAAGCAGAGTTTAAATCTCTATGCATTGGAAACTATTTCTGTTTTATTAATATTTTTATATTCAGCAACATGATAGGTTCCTGTTATGTCTTTTAAATGTGCCTAACAATATATAGGAAAATATGTTTTGGGTTATTTAGTCAGCATTGAATATACCAATTTTTTATCTCAGCATATTGTCCAAAAAAAAAAAAAAAATCAGTTATTTGCATCATTGATGAATCATTATTCAATTGATAATATCAATCAACTTTTGATGAATTAATTGATAAGTTGCATCCCTAATCATAGCTGGCCTCTTTTATTAATGAGAATCTGAAGGCCTTCATGTTGGGCTAATCAGAACTAAAAGGTATTTAGTGAACTCTTGTCCTCTGACCCAGAATATGAGCAGACATCAGATTGCCTTCATAACTGGCAGTAATCTAGGTTCAAATGTGGACAGGATGTGTTACCTGGTCCAGCTGTATGAGCTGGGCTACTGTCCCCGGCATCTGGATGGCTATCCTCACTATGTCCTTCTGCTGCGGCATCCTGGCTCCTTCCGACCTCACTCCTCAGCACCTGCAGATTAAGAGAAAACAGGAACGTCACGTCTACAGGTGAGAGACATTGCATCACAGGATGATACACACCTCCAACACACACAGGACCTTCTGACTGAGAAGCAGGAGTGAAAACCACCGATCCACAGGGCTCCACCATATTAGGCAAAATCTAATTAAGCAACAGCAATGATTCATCCTGCAATATTACAGCTGAGCTCCATATCCGTACTCCAAATCTTTGCTGTAGATCTATGTGCTGTAGATGAGCTGATAGATGCATCAAACTTCAACCACTCATGACCTAAACAAACTACCAGCCAACCCGCTCAGCTCAGTACTGACTCAGGGACACCGTCCTCTATCGATCGCTTTCAGAATGAATCCAGAAGAGTCCCACTTCCTGTTTTACTCTTTATTTCTGGTTCTCTTATTAGAACTGAGAAGGCCTTAATGCTGCGGTTCCACCACAAACACGTACACAAACCATCGCGGGAAGAGTGGATCAGGAAAGCCCTGATCAAGTCAGAACTCGACCAGAACCATCACAACAGCTGCTGCTGGAGATTGGATCCGCTGTCAGTCTGTGGATGTGTGTGTGTGTGTGTGTGTGTGGGCTGGGTGGGGTCACTTGTTGCACAAGCAGACACCAAGCTGGACCTCCTCCATTCTGCAGCTGAGCTGAAAAAAAAAAAAAAACCTTTTGGACACAGTTGGGGCTGGGGGCACAAAGGCCTCTTCTGTAGGATTCTGGGAACTATGAGGATGAGTGAGTGAGTGTGTGAGTGTGTGTGTGGGGGTGTGAGTGGAGTGGGTGTGTGTGCAACGGGAACTGCTGCTGGTTGTAGTTTATAGAACTGCTTCACAAGATCCATTACCATCACTCGTAGAGAGGAACCATCTGAAACTGAGCTGTATGCTGAATGGTTCTTTTCAAAAGGTAAGTGGATGATGATTGGTCGAGAGCGTGCCACATAATGGAATAGTTTTAAAACCGAACAGTTGGCTGTTCTCTGGGCCCAAACAGCCTGGTTACGGTCTCTCTACAGGGTTGATATTGGGACCTTTGGATGCTCCAATCCCTCCCTCTCTGCTCTATTTAATGCCTTCCACTAAAGCTTCAAAGACTTGTTATTAGTTAGTTCTTTATTTCCTTTCAGCCACTATTAAGAGTCGCATTAAAGAGGCCAAAGAGCCACATGCTGCTCTGGAGCCGCAGGTTGCAGACCCCTGCTTTAAACATAAAGGAGCCCAAAGCACACTGTTACCGAGCTGGTTCTGTTTACTTGCTATCAAAATGTATAAAGATCTGTTTGGTTCTTAGACAAATGAAGTGTTTTGGGATGAAATCAGTTATTATTATTATTTATGAAATCTGAAAAAGATTTATTTTACTATTTCACTTCAGAACACAGATATTTACATTTAATTCTGGAAACTCCGATGGTTCTCATTGATTGACTGATGATGATTGCTCTCACAGTGGAGAAATTTACTCTGTAATCAGCTCAAATAGCCAAAGAAGAAAGAGGTGCATGGGATATATATAGTATATACAGTGCGTCCACATATGACAGGTTATTTATCCTTTTAAATAGTAGAATTATTAGAATAGGGTGTTCACATATATATATATATATATATATATATATATATATATATATATAGTTATGGCACTGGATGTAAAATATAGAGAAACAGGTTATTGCACAGGGTATCAAATATTAATTGCACATTATATATTGCAGAAGTTATTTCCGTTGTAGTGTCTCATTGTAGAGTCTGGTTGCAGCAGGGGTGATCTGGATCATAGCTATGGAAAATTGGCAATTTAGTATCTCAAAAAATAATATGAATATGACATAACTATATATAGGTTGATGCTAAAATTGCTGGCCGTTCAAAGTGGTGCGTATCAGTATTTTAATGGAAAGTTAAGTGGAAGGAAAATGTGTGGTAGAAGTAGGTGATCCTAAGTCACAGATTACTGCAGAACTGAATGTTGGGTTTTCAAGAACTATCAGAATCAGGAGAAATAAAACACATTGTGTGGGATGGGACGGTTCCACTTTCTGACCCAGATAACAGAAACAAATGAACTTTTGAACCATGCTGTAGCATTGCTGAGCCATTGCTGCACATTTGAGTCAAAGAGGCTTGATGCAGAGGTTTGAAGAATGTGGCTGTCTTCTGGAGGAGCTTATGAGTCAGCTGATGGACGGGTTAAAGCTTGTTAAACCTCAGCAATAACCCAGTCCTGCTGTGGGCTTTGGGCATAACGATCAACATCAAACTGTTTCCAGTATTTTTCTGCCTCAGGCCTACTAGACCAGTAGATCAGCTGATGCTGGGTTCTAAATACCAACAGAAATTAAAGCTAAAAGAGATCATTTTCACCAGCGTGCCACATGATGCTGTGTTGGTGTCCATCTCATGGCGTCAGGAGAGTAAAAAAACCAGGCTCTCTCTGCAGGTTTACAACTTATTTAGAAAAGCGCAGATGTGCAACTGATTAATTTAGGTTTAAATGTGTCTTTAAAGCCTTCTGGACCCGGGTCAGGACCGGAAACGGCCGAGCAGTTCCTCTACTTTCCATTCAGAAAGTGTTCCTGATTCTCTACCGTTTTAAACTTCACATTTAGTGACTTTAACAGCAGAAATGTTGAAATAGAACAGAGTCAATTGAAGTTTCGGTCAGGAAACTGAGCCTGCATGAGAAATGAAAAATAAAATTCTGCTCAGGTTAAACAGAAAAGAAGCGGCTCAGTAGAAACACTACAACCGTACGGGTTGTAGTCTGAGCCTGTCTGAGCCTGTCCACCATGTTCCCTGAACCACACAGCCGTGGTGGAAGCTGAAACCACACCTTCTGCATACGAGTCTCTGTAAACAGAAGTGATGGAGTTCAACTTCCACAACAGAGTCATAAAGCCCAGCTAATCATTAAATCGGGGATCAGGAGCCAATGGCTGAATGGATCTGGCTTCAATGTTATCAAATAACCTGGAGAACTATGTTAGTTACAATATCTTCCTTTATTCTTTAGATTTCTCATGTCTCCATCTACATGACCAGGTGTCATTACCAGACCAGGTTCTGCTGCTACTTTCTATGAAGGATCAGTTATTGTTGCCATTTATTTGGATTCTGTTCCTAGAAGGCATCCAAGTTCCAGTAGGACTTTTGTTTAAAACTGCCACAGATGAACCTGCTGCTTCATACTGATCAGAATCGGACCTGATGTCTGGGATAAGGCAGACTTTTATTCAGCTGGTTATGAATTGTATGGAGGACCAATCCTGCCATTGTTAAAAATCCATTAATAAATAAATGGAATTTCAGTGCCGAGATTACAGGGTGAAATTGAAAAAAGTGAGCCAATAAATGCAACAAAAGGAAAAAAATTGCTGATGCATTTTAAAATTGATGAATTACTTATATATAAATATATCTTTTATTTGAACCATTCTGTTTTATCCTTGCAATTTTATCCACTATTTAAAGAAGATTCAGTCATAGCTTTTTTTCCAGTTGCTTATTTATTACAAGTAAATGTATTGCGTTTCGATTTTTCCAAATCCATTTATTTATTTCTGATTAAAAGATATAGAAATTTATATCCAACTAATTTAATAAACAAACTAATAATTAATTTAAACTCATTTTTAAATATATCAACATTTTTTATTAGTTTCATATCAAGCTATAACTTTTGGTTTGAACTAAATTTGAGTCATTTATTTTTTTATTTGTAATTATGGCAGCATTGATTCTCCATAGAATTAGGCCTTTAGATAGAATGTGTTTGAAATGAGAAATACATAAAAAAAAATAAGATAACTGAATAAATATAAAAAGACTTATTTTTGAAATGGGAGCTTTGAGGTTTCTGGAATATTGTGGAGCAAGTTGTTTAATTAAACCTAGAACTTCTAACCTAGAAGCTGAGGTTCCCTGGACCAACAGGAGGAGGAGGAGGAGGAGGAGGAGAAGGAGGAGGAGGGATTGGAGGAGGGGGGTTGGAGCTGCCTGAAATTCCTAACCTGACACACAAACACACACTAATCTGCACCTACTGAGTTTTAACAAACCTCCAAACAAGCCTCAGCAAAAAGTTAACAGATTATGATCATTTACCTTTTCTGATCATTAGAATTGAAGTGAACCATTGATCAGAGGAAACTACTTTAGTGTTCATCTCCTCTGTTCTGATTGTTTCCATTAGTGTTTAGTTCAGTTAGGACTCCACCATCAGCTGCTCAGCCTCTCTGCTCCTCTTACCTGCCCTCTAACGTCTGCTGTCCTGCAGGAACCGCCGCACTCACACTGGAAACATTTGAAGAAAACTTCAGCGTTTGTTTTCCTTCAGGACAAACCGAAAGCTTCCAGAAAGATGGCTTTCCCGCTAAACCCGTCGGAAAATCGAGGGGAAACTCCAAACTCTCCAACTTCAGGGATAAATACTGGGTCAAAAAGTTCCGGGTTTGGCTCCAGTCGCCCACTTCAGTTCGACTCGATCTGAGAGTCAGGTCCAGGATTAGTAGCCTGCTTCCGGTTCAGGGTTTTCGCAATAAGAGTCCACGAAATTAGGACCTTGGTCTGAGGCCTTCAGCAGGACGGCGAAGTTATCTAAGATCACATCCATCGATCCATCCATCTATGCAGCCATCTATGCATCCACCAAGAAGCAATCATGCAAGCAACCACCCATAAATATCCATACATCAATTTAAATTAATTCTTCCATTATCTATCCTTCCATAAATTAAGATCCATCATCCTGGAAAATCCATCCATTAACATCCATCCATCCATCATCCATCCACCAATACATTAAATATTATCATCCATCAATTAACATCCATCCATCCATCATCCATCCATCAATACATTAAATATTATCATCCATCAATTAACATCCATCCATCCATCATCCATCCATCAATACATTAAATATTATCATCCATCAATTAACATCCATCCATCCATCTATCCATTAATTAACATCCATCCATCATCCATCCACCAATACATTAAATATTATCATCCATCAATTAACATCCATCCATCCATCATCCATCCATCAATACATTAAATATTATCATCCATCAATTAACATCCATCCATCCATCTATCCATTAATTAACATCCATCCATCTATCCATCCATCTATCCATCCATCCGTCCATTAAATATTATCATCCATTAATTAACATCCATCCATTAACATCTATCCATCCATCTGGTGCTTGGGTGAACCCTGTATGGGTCACCATTCTATCACAGGGACCAATAATACATTTATTGGTCCGATTATGTTATACAGTCTTCTATGATAACTGTATTAAATCACTAAAACTTAATCTAATACTCTTTAACAGTTGACCTAAAATGTATTTTGTATGCAGTAATAGATTTATTTATTTTAGTTTAATTTTTTTTGTGGAGTGGCAGTTCCATTCTCATCAAAACATGCTTTGAACAAACTTTTGACAAACTTTTTTGAGAGGAAAAGGAAACAAAAGCTAAAAAAATCTTTAAATCATCCGTTTTTATATATTGTAATAACCTGATAGATGCTGAGCAAAATGGCAGCTTTACTTTGAAATAAATTGTCAAAATATTTGCTACTGGTTGTAGGCTTGGTCACTTACGCCTCCTGCTGGTAGTTTCTACTCTAAAACCAGTCCGTTTAGCAGCGTGGTATTAAATACTGCACTGATTTATTAAGATTAGAGTCATTTTGCTTACATTTTTTATTAAACTAAAGACTGTTTTCTTTTTTGTTACATAAAGATTAGTGTCTGCAGAAAAAGAAACATAACTAACAGGGGATTTAAAATAACTGACAAATTTGGAGTGATTAAAACGTCATAATCAATTCCAGTCTTTGTCAGTGTGTTAAGAAAATTTGAAAAAGATTAAGTTAAATGCACGTTCACAAAGCAGTTCAGGAATTTTTTTTTACAAACAATTTTTTTCCAACAACGTATAGGGACAAAAATTAGTGAACGATGAAATCTAAAGAGAAAGAAAAAAAAATATTCAGAAAGTTTTCCAGATTTTCTTCAGTTGTCTCTTTCTCTAAAATAAAAGCCGATATAAAAGCTACTTCTACTTCTATATAAGAAGAGCTGGGTGAAAACACTGGAAGGTTGCAGGTTTGAAGGTTAGACTGCTACCCTGGGACCCTGAGCAAGACCCTCAACCCCAGAATGCTCCCAAGGTCCTACCCCCTGCTTTCTAAGGGCTTGCCAAATTCAATCTATCTATCTATCTATCTATCTATCTATCTATCTATCTATCTATCTATCTATCTATCTATCTATCTATCTATCTATCTATCTATCTATCTATCTATCTATCTATCTACACTATATTGCCAAAAGTATTTGCTCACCCATCCAAATTATTGGAATCAGGTGTTCCAATCACTTCCATGGCCACAGGTGTATAAATTCAAGCACCTAGGCATGCAGACTGTTTTTACAAACATTTGTGAAAGAATGGGTCGCTCTCAGGAGCTCAGTGAATTCCAGCGTGGAACTGTGATAGGATGCCACCTGTGCAACAAATCCAGTCGTGAAATTTCCTCGCTCCTAAATATTCCACAGTCAACTGTCAGCTGTATTATAAGAAAATGGAAGTGTTTGGGAACGACAGCAACTCAGCCACGAAGTGGTAGGCCACGTAAACTGACGGAGCGGGGTCAGCGGATGCTGACGCGCATAGTGCGAAGAGGTCGCCAACTTTCTGCAGAGTCAATCACTACAGACCTCCAAACTTCATGTGGCCTTCAGATTAGCTCAAGAACAGTGCGCAGAGAGCTTCATGGAATGGGTTTCCATGGTCGAGCAGCTGCATCCAAGCCATACATCACCAAGTGCAATGCAAAGCGTCGGATGCGGTGGTGTAAAGCACGCCGCCACTGGACTCTAGAGCAGTGGAGACGCGTTCTCTGGAGTGACGAATCGCGCTTCTCCATCTGGCAATCTGATGGACGGGTCTGGGTTTGGCGGTTGCCAGGAGAACGGTACTTGTCTGACTGCATTGTGCCAAGTGTAAAGTTTGGTGGAGGGGGGATTATGGTGTGGGGTTGTTTTTCAGGAGCTGGGCTTGGCCCCTTAGTTCCAGTGAAAGGAACTCTGAATGCTTCAGCATACCAAGACATTTTGGACAATTCCATGCTCCCAACTTTGGGGGAACAGTTTGGAGCTGGCCCCTTCCTCTTCCAACATGACTGTGCACCAGTGCACAAAGCAAGGTCCATAAAGACATGGATGACAGAGTCTGGTGTGGATGAACTTGACTGGCCTGCACAGAGTCCTGACCTCAACCCGATAGAACACCTTTGGGATGAATTAGAGCGGAGACTGAGAGCCAGGCCTTCTCGTCCAACATCAGTGTGCGACCTCACAAATGCGCTTCTGGAAGAATGGTCAAAAATTCCCATAAACACACTCCTAAACCTTGTGGACAGCCTTCCCAGAAGAGTTGAAGCTGTTCTAGCTGCAAAGGGTGGACCGACGTCATATTGAACCCTATGGATTAGGAACGGGATGTCACTTAAGCTCATATGTGAGTCAAGGCAGGTGAGCAAATACTTTTGGCAATATAGTGTATCTATCTGAAGAACTGATTGTTTCATATTTTTATCCTAGAGCAAATTTCTCCAAAACTACATGTTAACCGTTCGCTTGTTAACCGTAAGACTGGAGCCTAAAACTGAACTGTAATTTTTGACAAAGTTAACAGTTAACTTGTCTCAGTTTATCCTGAGCATTATTTTTAGTTGTGTTACTGTAGGGTTAGGGTGCTGGAGGACATGAAGACCACATATTCCTCACACGACTACACTAATTCTCCAGTTTCACAATATTTGTTCTTTTTTTCTCTTCATAGTAGCTATGCCCAGTCTGTGACGCCATCCCGGGGGATAGGTATCAACAACCTCATGGTAACGATGCTAAAGTTGGGCTTGTTTCTCCTCTAGACATAACTATTGGCTGAGTTTTCACTGTGACTAACTGTATGTTTGCTCTTTCATCCTTTGGACTTGAAAACTTGCTGAGTCAAGTCTTTTGCATCGATTCAATGACTGACAGACTCTATTCCTCTTGGATGAGCTTGTTAGGACAGTGGCTACATGAACAAAGCCATCTGGGGAGCTAGTCTATAGTTCCTTCTCTGCTCTTCCCACCCAACCCCTAGTCAGTCACACCAGAAGGATGATCACACCGAGCTTGGTTCTGATGAATATTTCCTCCTGATTAAGGGGAGTTTTCTTCTCCTCTGTCACTGCATTAATGCTCAAAATGAGAAATTGCTGCAAAGTCAATAACACAAAGCTAGCAAAGGTCCACTGTTGGTACAGGCTTATCCCAGAGGGAATCAGGCAACTCAATGCCTCAAATGCTATCTACGTTGTTTTGGTGAACAGAACATTTTTAACTAACATGTCTGGATGTTTTGATTGAATTGACAGCTAATTATCTGGTTATATATATAAGAATCCAAAATCAAAGCCACTGATGCCTTTACCTAGGAGTATAGTTCCCCCTTCCATAAGAAAGCACCCCTGGTCAAACTAGTTTTTCTACTTCCTGAATGGATTTACTCACAGTTAATGGAGCCAGTGATGACCCCATTTGCTTTTACTTCCTAAAGAAAGGACAGTTCATATCCATATTGGAATCTGGATCCCACGGAACTTTATACAAATGGAAAGAAATGGCTTGATTATTCTTGGAATGTTTCTTTGCTGTAAATTTGCTCCAATCTAAAAAGAACCTTATCAAAGAACCCAAGAAAGGACAACCGGAACAATACCAAATCTGTTTATTATGCTCATTTTGATGCAGCATGGAACCTGTTAAAATCAGCCCGCATGCCTGAAAACACACACACACAAAAAAAAATCAGGATTCTTTTAACCCACTACAAGTGATCTGACTTCTCAGAACTCTCCACACACTAAGGAGAGCTACAGATCAGCATATTGATCCAAAGGGATGGGAGGCTTTGAAAAAGCAGGGGGGTTACTTGATTTTAAGGGTTTGCTCCAAAAAAAAAAGTCCTTGAATAACAGATCCAATGGTATAAAAAATAAATGCTATTCTATACAGGCAGTGTTGTTGTATACAGGGGAAATACTTTATACACAGTCAGGGTAAAAGGGGACTTTACATTTGGGATTTTTCCATAAAAACCTCCAGAACAGGAAGAAACGTGTTAATAATCGCACTCCTGCACAGAGAGGGGAGTTACAGCTTGGATATAAAATCTATGTTTGGGTGCTTTTCATTTTAAAAAATAAACACGGGTGCGTGCCATATATACATAAACAGATTAAAAAAGGCATAAAAATCAACATGAACTCGCACTTGATTTTGCACAGAGAATGGTTTGAAACAAAACTGTTGCCATCATCATTATGGAAAGGAAGGGGTGAATGCAGGTTAAACCTAAAAACCTGAAAGTGACTGAATAAAAATCACCAAAGCTTTTTAGATTGACCCAGTTGGTTGGTTAGAAGTTTAGACTCTTTTCTGGCTTTGGTAAAAATAAGAACCAGAATAAAAGATGACTTTATTTATTCTGATTCATCCCTCCCAGAGGCCATTTCCTGAGCATCTTTGCATGCAGTTTCTGTTCCTTTATCATCTCCTAAATTGGGTCTGATGGTTATGCTGGAAAGATCGGTTCTGATCCATTAAAACATGCTGGAGTTAGACTGCAGGATGATTTGGGACAGGAAAGAGTTTGCAAGATGTCCCTATGTAGGTGAGACAACAAATAAATGATTTAAGGATAGTTTTGTGTGCTGGTATTACAAAATATATATTCTCTATATACAAGGAGTCACCAGGCTCCTGACCTGATCAAAAAATGGTTCTTTTAGTTTCATTTTCCTGGAGATGTTCTGAGATCATTCACTCACACTAAAAACAGTCACATTCACACTTCCAGGCCCACAGGAGAGCTAATAAGCAGATATCTGTACACGATGTAAAAAATATCATTCCGACTCATTTTTTTTTTTCCTTGGAGAAGCTCAAAGTCAAAGTTCTGTTCCTCATCTGTTCTTCTGGACATGGAGCTTTAGTTTAAGCTCAGCTGGAGCACATCGAGACGATGGAGCATCGTCTTTCAATCACTCTGCAGATCCCATCCGTTTCCCACTCTTCTCTAACCCTCTGCTTCAGCGACGGCTGCAGGAGCTTCTAGAACGTTTCTGGGTAGATTGGGTCAGAGGTTGAGAATGGGCACATCGAAGAGGTCGCAGAGGCCTTCGGTTTCATCTAGGTTGTAGATGTAGTCATGGTCGCTGGGTGGGGGCGACAGACGGAGGAGCGGCGAGAACACTGAGGACGAAATATGCAGAGAAGTTAGAGCGCCAGCATTCACCATCTTCTCAGACACCATATCAATCCATCCATCCTAGAAAGTAACCTGCATTGGAAGAAGGCCTACAGTCCTGGTAACAGCAGCGAGCCCAACACTAAACATTTCAGGACCTTTAATTCCACCTTTGACCTTTACAGCTCACCTGAACCAACAGATTTAAATGGTGGTACCCTTTTCTAACAGGGATGTTGCTGTGAAGTTTGTGTTAAACAGGGTCAGTCCTCGTTTCATTATAAGTCGCTCTGGTTTATTAGGGTTTTTAGATCTGCAGAGAGCTTCAAAACAGTCAGAGGATCTCACTGTTTGAAGGTATCAGTCAGGGAAAGGCAGCAAAGCAATCATCAGAATTGGACCCACCCAGTACAAGACATCCCTTTAAAATGGAGGGAAATTGATCCTTCATCACACATCAGTGGACCAGGGGGCAACATGAAGGCCTTCCTGACTAAAGCCGACATCCTGACCTGGCTAAACTGCATGGAGAACATCATCGCTGCAGTGAAGCATGGTAGTGGTACAATCATGCTTTGAAAATAGTTAACTTTGGAAGAGAACCCTCAGGCTTCTCCTTTGAGGCTGAAGATGAACTTCCTCCTTCAGCATCAACATGAATCAAAGCACAAATTCAAACCATTGAAAGAACATATGAACCAGAAGACAGTTAATGTTTTGGAGCAGTCCAACCAAAGCACAGACTTGCATCCCACCTAGAACCTGAGGTGGGGATCTGAAGAGGGCAAACATGGAGCTGTGTGCAGAGAAAACTGAAAAGGTTGTCATGCTTTTAAAACTTGACATTCTAACAGAACTGATTAGACCTTTTATATCTACAGTAGCTTAATAATGACTTTAAAAATCAGAACTTCCTCGGTTTTAATTCACTTCTTAAATACTTCATAGATCCCAAATGGAAATCAAATGTTGTGTAACTCGACTTTTTCAGCAAGTTGTATAGGCTAATAGCTGTCAGTAGGAAGGATCTCCTGTAGAGGTCCATCTTACAGCGACTCTTTAGAAGCCTCTGACTGAAGACATTGTTGTTGTTTAACAGTTTTCTCTAGAGGATGCCCAGAAAACAAACAAAAGCAATGATGGGAAATATGGACATTCGTTTGAGATTTTTTAAATACTAGCACTGGAAGATTATCTAAAACTGGGGCTGATTTTTTTATTTTTTAGCAGAAAAACCAGAAGGTGAATATTATGATCACTTTCATGTGTGTCAGTAAAGAATTGTACCTTCTGATGACATCAAGTCGTCCAGCAGGTCTCCGGTCATTATCTCTGGAAGAAACAAAATGAAGATTTAGAGACCAAAGCTTTTCTTCTATTTCTGTTTGCTAACAGCTCCATGTCCCGGCACATACCTTTAGTTGGATCAAACATCTCAGAGAGTTCTTTGGGGAAGTCCAAAACTGCACAGAAACAACAGAAGCCCTGTTAGCTGCAGATTTAACATTTTAAAAACTTCATCCACCACATCATTAATGAAAGTTACATCTCTCACGTTCAGACGGATTTGATTTAATGGGTTCGAACACGGCTGGAGGGGCAGACCCGTCCAAAGAGGCAGACGACTGCAGCTGCTGAGGAACAGCTGCGGGGCTAAGCGTCGAGCTGCTGGTCGCCTCTGAAATGAGAGAGAAGAGGGATAGCATGCATTAGAACACAGAGAAAATGTAATCAGCATCACAGTGAGAGGATGGATAGAGGCAACCGGTTAGCCCACATACCAGTCACCATTCTGATGACTGGTACAGGGTCATAAATATTACTTTGGATCTACTCTGCTTTGTAGAAATTATAATATTATTAAGAGGTGCAAGGGCCTGTTTAAGATCAGGACTTTGACCAGGCCACTTCTTTATTTTAAACCACCCAGATGTGGACTTGCTGGTTTGTTTTGGACCCTTTTCAATGCACTATCACTATGTATAACTATAGGGATGATGTTCATGTTCTGAAATGCTAGGTTAACGTAATGTAAATTGGTGTAAATTGGTCCAGAAACCTCCAATGAGGACCATTTTTGTTTTATTTTCCTACAAATCTCGGCAACCATGAGGACATTTTTCGGTACACGTGGGATAGAACCAGTCGTTCCTTTGGGTCAGCAGTGATTCTGATTGAACTGAAACTGCTTTAAAAAGAGTCATGTCTTAAAGAGGCCTTTTCATTTTTTTTAAATTGGGCTAGTTAAGTTTGGATCCATTTCTGTCCTTTAATAAACAGAATCATCACATGAACACTTCCATTTGTATTTTCTCTTAAAATTTGTCTGATGGGAATATTCTAAATCAAACACTGAGGTGGGGCTGGAAAACACGAACAGAAGAAATGTTGTCCTACATGCTAATGCAGGACAAGGTTTTTAACTGTACACCAAGAACCCTCCTACCTGCTGCTGCAGACACAGATGCCGTGGTTGCCGCTGGTTTTGTCGCTGGAGCTGAAGGCGTTTTGGAGACCTGGAGGTAAGAAAGCAGAGCATTAGGGTTCTGCAAACTCCAAACCAGAATAAGACAAGCAGTAAGGCGGCCAATAGGACTTAAAACCCGCCAGTCCGACTATTCTGATAGCATCTAGCAGCTCAAAGTGGCATGTACATGAGCACTCAGGTCAGCTTCCCTCATTGATCCTGTAAAGTGTTTACATGCATAAACCACTCCACTGTCATATCACAATCTCAATGCAATCCTGCTGAATCCGAACAAAAAATTCTCACTTCCATGTCTGCTGGACACATTTTTAGTCTGATCACCGTTTATTCTGATTACTAATGTCCATATAAATGTAGCTATGGATTGTACTGGGAACATCTATCTGCTGAGTGTGTATTGGAGCAGAGCAGGACGTAGAGCAGTCTGGAGGAAATGTTTTTTTTCCGCAGGCTGCATTGTAAAAATATTCATACTCAAACAGTGCATCTGGATTTTAATAATAATTCTGCATGGTATCCATACTACAGTGTCGATTGTACAATTCTGCCATTGTTACCCTTAGAGATTTTTATTTTTTACACAATTGAATAATACCTGAGACATATGCTTGGGGAGATTCTCAGTCATCCAGCCACAGTCATTCCAAAAAAGTTTAAAATAAACAATCCACTGAACTTTGCTTCCTAGTTTGCAGACGTTTCGCTTACCATTTCAAAAAGCCTGCTGGATGGGAAGCGAAACGTCTTCAAACTTGAAAACAAAGTCCAATGAATTGTTTTTTCTTTTTTACGTTTTTGGAATACAACTTGCAATATTGTTAAACTGAGCTAAATGTGTTTTTTTATTTTGCATTTATTTGCACTCTTCTTTAACTGGTATCTGTGATTCTGTTGACAATTCGTGCCTCATGTTTAAAAAAAAAAAAGAATTTGCTCAAAAAGAAACAGGGGGAAGATACAAGAACTTTTAGCTTCCTGCCTGTCTTATACACACCAACAAACAATTATTAATCTCTCCATATAACAGTATCCTTACATTAAAAATCACATTATCATCATTGAATTTACAGTTATTTGCTAATTATTAATATCTTTAATAAAATGAATAAAATTAGCAACATGCTTAGCCTATGATACACCCACATTTTACAATAAGCTCCTTTTGTAAGGCTTCCAAACTGGTTTATATTTACACTTTGTCTGAGCTCATCATTGAATCCATCCCATAGATCTTCATGGATCAACAGACAAAAAATGCTTTTAATAGCAACAACAACTCCACTATCTTTCACAAAACAGTTTTTTCTTATTGTGTGAAAGTTGCTGGTTCCTTACTTCCAACAAAAATTGTACAGGTATGAAATATAAAGTCACAGACAGGCAATATATTTTATTTAAAAAACCACATAGATTTATGTTCCCAATATCCCACTTTATGTAGTACTTTTTGTATTCCTTTTGTAATAATTTTGTATTATTACAGTGACTTTAAAAGTATTGCACCAAATGTCCTCACAATAGATCAAATATGGTACAATGTTATATAAGATAAGCAGAGTTCTGTGGACCAGTACCAATCCCATTCTCCTCGAAACAGCAACACTTTGACCAGTTGAAATTGAAAGGTGCAAACCTTGGAGGCAGCAGAGGGCGGCTGGGAGGTAGGTGTTGGTGCTGGCAGGCTGTGAAGGACATCATCTGGTGGTGGGACGGGCAAAATCACAGGAGAGGCACTGGAGGGGTCCTTATTGACCAATAAAACCTCAATGGGGCCAGATGTACTCTTCAGACGGATCTGGTACTTCCTCTGTCCGTTAAGAACCTATGCAGACTCATAGTTAGGCCGGAACGTGACTCAGACCTTAAGGTGCAACAATGCTTCAAATGTATTACTCACAATTTCTGGTACCGGTACCTCTAGCTGTGTTCCTACTGGAGCACGGATAGCCAGAAGGGTGTCTCCTGGAAGAATGGAGATGAGTGGAGAGGTCTACGAGACATTCAGACAAAATGAACTAGTAATACAGCCGAGGATATGGAAGAATTACCTTTGAATGCTCCACAGAGGTCTTCATGTTTTACATACGCCATAGTAGGAGAGCGTTAAGGGTCCAACATTTGGCACGAAGAAAATCCAGAATCTATACAGCTTTTATTAAACACATATTCCTATCTTTAAACGTTTGTCAGTCCTGGTGGTTATAGTTGTTTACATGTTCAAGTTTGAGATGTAAAAGCAGAAGAAAGTGAAGAGGCAGCTTAAAGTTGACGAGAGCAACAACAATAGAAAAAGTTTAAGGCTGCAGCTCCAATTTAAAATCAAAGGGGCAGATTTACATTCATTTATCCATGAAGGAGGAGCAAACCTGGAGAAATGCCATCTGAGTTCAGTGGTTTGGAGATCTAACAAACCAGCAGCCTACAGAGGGGGGGAGAGCGCTCTGCGCTGAGCCCAGTGGAGAAATCTGTCCTGGTTCAGAACATCAAGCTCGGCAGCAAAGGAGTAGAACTGAGATTTTACTTCAGCTCAAACAGAGCACCACTGATGGCTGGTGTCTCTCCTCCTCTGCAGGTCTTGTTTTCTGTTAGCTTGAACCAAGTTTCTGTAGATTTTTTTTCCAGCAACATTCAAACTCAGCAGCCCAAAGCTGCTCTGATTCACTGACTCTTTAGTCAAAAACATTAAATCCACCAATCACTTTAAGTTCAGTCTTTACCTTTTGGCGTCTCGATGGAAATTAAGCCTTTAAACCATTTAAGTTAGAATAATTTACAGTGTTTATGTTCTGAGAAGCAGATCAAAGTGATGAGGGACTATTAAACATTAACTGAACCTTAGTTTAAAAGGAGCCGCTTCAGTGAGAAGTGATTCTTCCTGTAGGAAACGCCTTCTGTCATTACACATCTATAGATTACAATCTAGAACATCTGTACTCAGTTTCAAAGCCTCAGAGCTATAAGATTATCATAAAATATAATCTAGTTCCAGATAGCCGACTATAAGCCTGTCCAGAGCTCTGCGCCTCTCTTTCCCCACCAGTTGGGATCAGGACGGTATATTTCATATCCACTCCACCCACGCTTTCCACACAGTCTGGAGTAAGTTTGTGGATTAAAACCAAGAATCAATCTGATTATGCCGTTTTGGTCCTGATCTCCGGACTGAGTGCAGTGAAGGATATGGGCTGTTACTGGAGTCATCTGTGACATTCTTAATACTCTGTTGGACCCAGACTTTTTGCCGGTCGAGCTCGTTTTCCCGCAGAGCCAGGTCATCCAGCTCGGCCTTCAGGTCGATCAGCTTATCTGCTATCTCTCTGGTGTTGCAGCCTGGACCAACGCCCCTGAAACACATCAGCAGACATGCAGAGACCATCAGCACCTCAGTGTCTGATCCACACAACAGCAAGAGACCTTTAGTCTGCCCTCAATTTATTAGAACCTAGAGACAAAGATCTTCAGCTTCAAAGGCAGATGTTCTAACTGCAGACTGATGTTGCTTTAGGGCTGGAGATGTTACCATGGCAATAGCTGACTTATTGGACATTTCCCTTTTAAATAAATGTAGGGGTCTTTCAGAGAAAGATGATTTCATTGCATCAACCCACCAGGAATCCCAGCGTATCTATAGGCTGAAAAAGAACCAGTTCTACTCATTTATTGATTAAACCACAATTTTAATCCAACACATTTAATTTCTATGGAAAAGGAAGTGGCTTAAATGAGCTCCTACGTCTCTGTTTCACATCTAGATGCTGGACACAGATTTCCTCTGAAATCAGATTTTTTTTTTTTTTGTTAGATCATTTATATAATTTTTTAAATGTTGTCTACACCTGACTGCAGTGGGAACTATTCGCAGCTCCAAACTGAGCCGCATGCCTTACACAGTAACACTACTTCACTCTTTGGTCTAAGCACTGAAGGAATAAAAATTAGTTTTCATGTTTGTAAAGGCATTAAATGTCTTAGGGAGGAAAAGAACAATCCAAAATATATTATGGGGTATTACTGTGGTCTCTGTTTGCTAGACTGAGGTTGAACTTTGTCCCTAATCTAAACAGTTCAAGTAAGAACCTTCCAGGCAGCCCTGAATAGAGGTTACACTCCAAAGGAGATCTAACATTTCTCCATTCCTCCAAAGAGAGGTGCTGACAAAGCTCTTGTTTCTAAACCATTGTCTTTTAGTTGCTAATGGTGCAAAATTATGACAAATATCGATGGAAAGTGATGTCAATGTTGCAATTTTCAAGTTATTTCAAGTCATTTCAGTCGACTGTATGCTGAAGGAGTCTTGAAAACATTACATTTCAGTCAGATCTGAGCGTTCCAACTTGTTCTAAACAATCCCAACGTGGTAAGTTGAACCCACATATATCAGGTTTGGGCCATATTTGCCTGCAATGGGAACGGGGCCTTAGAAATAGGATGAGGGGCCAGAAGTAGAGCCACACCGCCGTACAGATGTTCCGTCATCTGTTCGGGAGGCTCTGTCAGGACAGAGCCTCTGTGATTAGACTGTCCCTGCAAACCAGTACCAGAAAAAAACAGCGACGGCGACGTTGGTATCCCAGTTAAGCTACGACCTGAGATAAAAACAGCTTCAGTGTTCGGAACAGAGACCCAGACAACCAAAAAACAGCGAGTGACTTGGGTCTACAAAATAAAAGAACGGCTGGAGTTTCCTATTTCTAAACATCCGATTTATACATTATGAAATAAAGAAAAAAGGTCTGGAAAAAAGATAAGAGCTTTCCTTCCCTCCTTTTCTTTTGCTTATCCTTTATTGGGACGTTTATTTATTTTTTTTTCTGCAAACGGCCCAGTAACCCAGCCGATAAGAACATCAGCAAGACTGCTCTAATAATATTCTAAAAAATTTTGTTACTTAAGCAGCTGTTAACTCAGAGCACCAACAGACTATTTGGCTGATGTCAGAAACTAATGAGCTTCAGTTCAACCTGAGGTCAAAAAGAGATCATCTCCATGTGATCCTCAGAAGGAGTACACCGAAATTATTTCCATGCAGGAACCATGAAGCATTAACAGTGCTCAAGGACAGGGGCATCAGAAAACTGAAATGTTTCCTTATTTATTATCATTATCATAAACAATCTACTGAGTGAAACATCATCAGAACTGGCAGAAAAGTGGAGCTAGGAGGGATATGGGTGCAAGTCTTTGATGTCATCAAACGTCTTTTTTCCCCCGTTTACAACCATAAAACAGAGAAATTGATCTGACCTTAAAGGAGTCATAGAATGCAAAACCAAAAAAGTGTCGACTGCTGGGCTGTTGACTGGACCGGACCTCAGCAGAGAGCCACGAGCCGCTGTTCCTCAGCCGGAGGAGGGGGGCTGGGGGCCGGTAAGGCGGGCAGGGCGGAAGCACGGGGCTGCCGGTGTCCATGCTACCGTCACCGGGTCGGATTCGGCTGCTCCGTCCCCCGCTGGCTTCCTGCCCCCATCCCCCGGGGTTACCGGACCAGCCCCGGAGCTAAAGGCTCAGTTCGAATGCCCAGTTCGTTTCAACCTCGTGCTGCACTGTAGTCGACCAAAATGCCCAATGATTTTGAAATTCCCACAGACATTTTTTTTACGTATGAAAAGTGGGCATGTCTGGGAAAAAAGAGGACGTCTGAGCACCCTACCATATCGACAATTTCAATGTTTCAGTGAGTGAGTGCTTGTTGCTATGATGCGTCTTTGCTCAGCAAATTTGCTCGTTGTAAACCAACCAATCAGCGCACAGCTCATCTAAATATTTATGAGCATACCATAAATGGAAGAAAACCTGTCGCTTCATTCTAGGGCTTATAACCAGGCTTGCATTAGGGCTCATAGAACAGCTAATATGCCATTTTCAGCCCAACCAATGTTACACGCCATATTCAGAGACCTTAAGGACGAGAACCAAATACCCTTTATAATCATTCTAAAAAAAATAACACCTACTTCCACTGGATGCTGTTCTTGGACTTCTTCTCAATCAGACCAATTCCTTCCAGGACATTGGTGATATCGTAAATACGCCTTTTCTGCCGTACTGCCAAGGTGTCAGCTGCCTGGAAACAGAAACAATAAAAACACAAGAACAAGGGCAAAATGAAAAAGGAGAGAATAATGCGGTAACCTTCCTTCTAAGTCGTGCTGTCAATGTTTAAAAGATAAAGGCGACATGCCGACACTGATAAGGCTCAGCTTTGTCGGCAGCCGATGAGAAGGGAAGAGCTGCAGTGAGTCGATTTACTATCTGCACAGCAGCCATCAGCGGCAGGCAAAAAGCCAACATGTCTCCAAGGCCCCTGAGGTCCCACAGAGGACGAGGAAGAGGGTTTGACAGAGAACGGGCTGACTGTATGGGACAGAGACTCCTGTAGTCCCAGGCTGAGCAGGTCTGCTGTTTGGTACCATCTGACTGCTTCACTAGTCTTAGATGGCTGGACTTTATATAAAATAGGAATATCAGCATTAGTAGAACCATTAGACATGTTAGAAAGTTCTCAGCATCTTTCTGTTCTGACAGCAGAACCAAAGAGGAACAGAAGAGGAAGAGTCAGAAAAAAAATCTCTAAATAGTAAAATAAATGATTCTTGGAAGCAGTAAAGATCTATCTCCAGGGTTCCTACACATGGTTCTATATCTATTTATATGCAAGGACTGGTTATAGGGAGGAAACAATGAATAGGATTAATCGATTATTGAAATAGGGTCATCTAATTTTCTAATATAATTGTTAACTTGAGTATAGAGTAGGGCAATTAAGTGCATTTGCAATATAATCGCAATTCAACAAAAACGCAATTTTCAAATTGCAGAGGCGCTAAATCTAAGTCACATTACGATGAACTAGAATAAGACGATGCATTTCTCACTCCAGGTGGCAGTAATATCCTTAAAGTGGGTTTCTGACCATACAGAAGGATAGAAACAGTTGCAACTAGCATGGAAATCCAGGGATGCAAATGGAAGTAAGCACTTTTTTCACAGTGTTACCGTAAAGCCCAGCAACAATGGACTCTGGACAAGCTTTCAAGCTAATAATAAAAAAAATGAAACCCTGAAATGAAACATCTACATGCTTATGGGCAGTGCAAAAGAAAATGGCAAAATCATTCAACATTAGTATAGAGCAGTGGTCTCCAACCCTAATCCATAGGGACCTTGAGTTTATTTCAACAGGATTCCAGAAAAAGGCCCAAACAATTCCTGTATGTTGCTGAGCACTGCCAGTCAGCTAGCTTAAAGCAGCCCTCTTCACTCACAAAAAACAACCAACCAGCTTGATACCAAGGTTTTACTCTGGAACACTTTGAGCCTGGTTCTGCTGGAGGTTTCTGCATGTTAAAAGGGAGTTTTCCCTCTCCACTGTCGCTACAAGCATGCTTAGTGTGAGGGATTGCATTGGAGTCAATAAGTCAATGCAAGCAACAGGTTTTCCTTACATAGAAAATTTTGGATCAATTTGACTTTATGAACTCGTTGAACTGTAAAGTGCCTTAAGATGACATTATGTGAATTAGCGCTATATCAATAAACTGAATTTAATTGAATAAATAATAATTTGCCATTACCTCCTTTCTGCAGGTCAGTTATTTATGCATGCGGCATTCAAACCCTAAATCAAAGTCTAACACTTAAACCACCTTACCACACAGGGACAAAATAATCATTTCTAAAAACAAATGTGATCAATCCAAGAAAATTTAACCAACAATACTATTAATATTCCTGTAATAACCAATGCTACACACTACATTAGGTTATTATACAGCAGGAGATTTTGGGGGGGTTAAAAAATAAACAACAACAAAAACATCAAATCTCTTGGCTAATTAATTCATTAGAAAGTATTTTAATTATACAGCAGCTTCGCCAGAAAATAAATATGATCACTAAGTGTTTCAGGGGTTTCTGTTATTTTTACTTTGCTTTTGATTAATTACTGAAGACTAATTACTGGAGGCATGTCCTCCAGGGAAAACAGTTTTCAGACGAATTGCTCAAGTGTGAAGATGAAGCAGCTTGAAATGGGGAGACGGCGACAAAAGCTGACCCACTTTTCAAACTTTGAATCTGCAGGGGGCAGAGTGGCAGAAGTTACCCGGTGTTTTCAAACTTACTTTGTTCGTCTGTGCTTCCTTCCCAGCTCGGAAAGCTTAGACAACCCCACAGAACCGCGCTGGTTCGGGAGAAACTTTGATGAAAATGCTTATCAGGTACGGAGCTTCCAGCTAAAATGCATAATTCATTCAAAAAGCAGCCGCGTAGCTAATGCTAGGCTAGCAGGCTAACGAAAGTTAAGCAGCTCATTATGGCATGTGCTAGCTGACAACAAAGACTCACAGCTTTCAGGTCCAGGACTCCGTCTTTCGCCTCCTGGAGCAGAGTCACAAACTTGGTGGTGAGCAGACCCAGGCTCTTCTCATGCCTGCTGGGAGTCTGTGGCTGCAGCGAGTCCCCGGCAGCTCCCGGGTCCCCTCTATTACTGGCCGACTCCAGCTCCATCATCACTCGGCTCCAGCTCAGCCCGGACTTCCCCTCCCGCTTCCCCCGAACTAAATCCAAGCAGAGAGCCCAGCGGCAGCACACTTTATGACAGAAAGCTCCCGGGATGGTTCGGTAATGTTTACTGGGTTAAAGCGTGGCCTAAACCTCTATAAATTACTGAATAAAACCGAACTGAACGGGCAGAGGGCTGTAACTCAATGAGCGGCGGAGAGCCGTTGGCCACGCGAGGTATGACGGGACTGTTCAACCGGCGGAGGGAGCGTCTGCAAATAGTCCCACCCAGGGACCAACGTGTAAAAAAACAACAGAAAATATAAAAAACAAAATAAAAAAAAAACTTCACTAAATAACATATTTATCGAAAATTTAATATTTAAGTGAAAAAAATATTTCTAAGTTTCTCTTTTGATAAAAAAGACGAATTTTTCTTCTTCACAGAATATGAGGGTTTATCCCAATCCCTCACCTAGTCAAATGAACGCTGGCGCGCATGCGCACAAGCAAACTTATGTCAAACTGGCGGAACTATTTATAGAATAAGTAATAATTATCTTAGGAACACTTCCACTCTGTATGACAACAAAACACTTTAATAATCGTCATAATATGACAGAGAAACACAAAGTATAGTTTATAAATGTGGAAAAAAACAAAAATTCTCTGACAGGTGCATATTTTTTTTTAAAACAAGATTTTTTTTTTCATTAAGTGAAGTTAATCACAATGGATAGAGTAGCCAGACACTTGACAAGAGAAGCTCTATTTAAGAAAAAAAATAGAGAAATTCTCTGGCATTTGTCTTCTCCAGCTTGAACATCTATAGACTTTGTTTCTTCACGGTGAAACATCTGTTAACAGAACTTCTGTTAATCAGAATCAGAATTTCTTTATTAATCCCTTGTGGGACATTCTTTTCTTGAAGTGGAACCATTTACAGAAGAGAAAAATAAGATTATAAGTACAGTACAGCATATATATATATATATATATATATATATATATATATATATATATATATATATATATATATATATATATATATATATATATATATATATATATATATAATAACACATGCATGAGCATGCATGGGTTCTCTCTGAGTACTCCGGCTTCCTCCCACAGTCCAAAAACATGACTGTTAGGTTAATTGGCTTCTCTAAATTCCCCTTAGGTGTGAGTGTGTGTGTGAGTGGTTATTTGTCCGGTTTGTCTCTGTGTTGCCCTGCAATGGACTGGCGACCTGTCCAGAGTGTGTACCCCGCCTCTCCCCCGTAGACAGCTGGAGATAGGCACCAGCACCCCGCGACCCCACTTGGCATTAAGCGTGTTAGAAGATGGATGGATGGATAATAACATCTAAAAAAAAAAAAAATACACCCTTCCCATATAAACAGTTCAAAATAAGATACAAGAATAAGGTAATAATAAGAATAAATAAGATTGACATTATTGACTGTCAGGGGCGGAGCTAAATGGGGGGCCAGTGGTGGCCGTGGCCAATTATTGCCCACCCCTGTGGCCACCCCTACCATTTTTTTTCTCTCGAGTTGAATATTCAACACATTTTAATTTTATATATATTACTATTACTTGACAACAAAAACACTGCGGTTAATTATGCACATCAATATGCCAACATCAGAGATGATTAGTATAGAATTCATGCTCTTTCAGAACTAGATTTTGTGTTATAAGAGAAAATGATTTGTCTCTGCAAGTCATCTAAAAGTCTTCTGTGAATACTGTATATAACTATTTAAATAAAAACTATCAAAAACTATAAATGATCAATTTATGTAGATATAAGTATTTGTAAATATCAATCTAATGTAGAATGATATTTATAAAAGTAAGTAAGTAATGACGATGGAAAAGATGTTCGCTCCAGAACTCTAACCTCAAAGAATTTTATCCAATATACCTTTAGTCTAGACGGATGTTTAAATATATGCATCTATTTGTTAGTAAAGGCTGTAGGAAACTATAGTTTGTATTTATTTAGAAATATGGACGTTCTGTGGTTCTTGTTGGAACAGTGTAGATTGATCCTGAGGTTCTGGTGCCTACCCACTTTTGGCCACCCCTCAGTATACATTGGTTATTGCCTGGCCACCCTTATAAAAATGTTCTGGCTATGCCTCTGATGACTGTGCTACTGCATTGATGAAATAAGTAAACAATAAGTAATGAAATTGAATGACTGTCAGAGAGATTAATTATGTATTATGACCACAGGCAGGAATGACTTCTGGCGCTCTGTGGTGCAACGTGATGAAATGAGTCTCTGACTGGAGGTGCCGTGTGGGTGACTAGCACATCATGAACAGGATGTGCAGGATTGTCCAGCATGGATTTTATCCTGTCCAACATTCTTCTGTCTGACACTGCGGATGAGTTTGTTAAGTATGTCGGCGTCCTTCACCTTCAGTCTACTGTCCCAGCATCCAGCAACATAAAGGATGACACTGGCCACCACAGACTCATCAAACATCCTCAGCATTGTCTGGCAGATGTAGAAGCAGTCAGTCACTGCAGAAAAAGAGACTATGATTAGTTTTTAAACCTTTCCACTACTACTACTTATCAGTTGGTTTTAGGTCTAGACTTCAACTAGGCCCCTCTAAGCAATCAATCTGCTTTGACCTAATCATTCAGGACCGACCCAAGGCACAAGAAAATAAGCAACTGCTTAGGGCCCCAGTGCAAGTAGTAGAGGCCAAGGAACAATTGAGTATGTGAGTCTTTTTTTTCTTGTATAATTACATTTATAATTATTTTCCTGCTGAAATTATGTATTTTTTAAAATCAAAATATCATTATTTATGTAGAGTCAATACTTACACATTAGAAAAGAATGTGTATGTTGCATCTGTTTTGGTACAATTTAATTTACTGTTTTTTTTATTTTATCAAAGCTATTTTATCTGTTTATTGTGGTCCCTGCACTACAGGCTACATTGCTGTTGCATTTGGAACAAAAAAGTTCAACCAACAAACACCGTTACTGTAAATAAAATGCATACCAAAATGTATCTCATTACTTTCAGTAGCAGTAGATGATGCAGAGAAGACTATCAACAGCACTGTCTGAGATGAAATTAGTTTATAGAAGGTGTGTGAGTGATCAGATCATCAGACAGCTCACAGCAATGGATATCATTAGCAGAAATAGAAGGTCTAAAAATCAAAATTTGCTCAGAGCCCCATTGAGGCTTGGGCCACCCTGCAACCATCCATTGTATTTTTGGGTGGGTGCTGCTGTCAGTGAACCTCCACTAAAGTGATATCCTCCAGGACTGTCCTGGATTTTGCTCCAACCAGCTTCCATGATCCTGCATTGAAAATGCAACCCCTTGAGCCATGTTCAAAACAAGGGACATTTTTTTAGCTGAACTTAAAGTATTTACTCAAAAAGCCACTCACTTAACTTTGAGTGTAATGTCTGATTCTGTTTTGGTTTCTTTTTATTTTGAGGCCTAATCAGACATATAAACTTTTTAATACTTTTTATAAAATAAGTGAGCAGTTGTGATACATTTAATATTTTTCTATTTTCATCCAAATATTCAGATCGAAATTATGATTCTTCTAGTAAAAAAACAAACAAAAAAAATTCCCCAGTCAGCAATATAGATCTCTTAGTTTGTAAATAAGAATCTTAGAAAATAAACGACGATCAGCTAAAAATAAATAAATGGATAGTTGTGTAAAACCAGTGTTTTTTGGGGAAAAAATGTTTGACAAAAAGCAAAGTTCAAATAGATAATTTATTTGGGAGAATCAAGTTAGGGTATAAGAAACAGAAACCCACCAATCTATGTTTATCCACTGCAAACTATTTTCACGATACTCTGTAAATAGTTTATTCACCTGTACAACAAGTGCTACAGGATTAGGGCCACTGAAAAAAAAAAAAAAAGTTAACGGATTTTTATTTTTTTCAATTTAATATGGGAAAAAAGTCAGAATTCTGACTTTAATCTCAGAATTCTAAGTCTTTTCCCATATTAAACTGAAATAAAATGTAAAAATCAGTTCACTTTTTATTTACTTTTTAGTGGCCCTAATCCTCTTCCGTATTAATCCTCTTCTGTATTAATCCTCTTCTGTAAATATCTTTTAAAAAATCAGTTACTTTTTCATTTTTTTATTTTTTCAGTGGTCCTAATCATCTTCCGTATAAAAGCAATAACTGTTGAAAACATATAATATTTTTTCTATTATTAATTTGTTGAGGAAGGATTCATTTCATGGGCTGGCGACCTATCCAGGGTGTATAGGCCATAGGCTGAAGCTCAAAATGAGGCTAGAAATAGGATTTCGCTCCACTAACCTGGGGACTACTTTTCGATAGCAGTTTTCCAATCTTAAATATGTACTCGAGCTGGGAAAAAAAGTTCTCCATGGGATACCTGCCAGTATTTGAGAAAATGGGTGCCAAAGGTGGCAGTTTACCCCAAAAAGTGACAAATTTGGGTCTTCTACCATTTTCAAACCCTTGTAACTTTTTTATTATTAAGGATATCAGACTCAGGATTTAGATTCCCACAGAGATTCATACTTACTCAGAGCTTATATAGCGGCAATGTCCTGCGTGCTTTAAGTAAGGAGTTATTCTAAATGAAAAAATACACTTTTTAACAATTTCACAATCTCCCAAAATATATCTTTATTGCACATGAAAACTGCAATTCTTTGAATTTTCAATTGAAAAACTCTAATAGCAAGATACCCTTTTGTGTCTGGTTAACTAATTATTATGAAAAGTGGTGTGAATTTTATCACCTAGCAGACCAGTTGCAATATTGGACGCAAAATTTTAGGAAATTACTGAAACACAGCTAAAATTTGAACAATGAAAACTAGGCACAAAGATATTTCTGTTTTTAAACAATGACTTTTATTAAAATTAACATTAACCATGTTAGATAATGTCAACTCATCACTTACACCTATGCACCAAGCAAGTGAATTATACAGTTCAATTGGCACAATCTTTCTAGCTGAGGAAATATTTAGATCCTCAGATGTAGGAGGCCAATTGGCACTCATGTTAGGGGCACTCTTAACTGCTTGTTTAAGAGTTATACCTGCACTATAAATGGTTCTGGTACAGCCTCATTGTGCTGCATATGTACCACTTTCCTGAACTGTCTCTCCACTACTCGACAAAGTCTCTTGCGATCCTGATGACTCAGGTTCAGTTGATGAACCCTTGTTGAGAAGTTCTGTAGCTTCTGTAAATACCATTTCACTCAGGTTTTTCCTCGGAGGCTTGTAGAAATTTAGTTGGGAAAAGTCTTGCCTCAGTCCTTTCTTCAGAAGATCTGATCTGTGAAAAATTGACAAGGAATAATAAATATATGCTGATGTGAATAATCCATCCATCCATTATCCAACCCACTTTATCCTTCATGGTGTCGCGGGGGTTTCTGGTGCCTATCTCCAGCGTTCACTGGGCGAGAGGCGGGGTACACCCTGACAGGTCGCCAGTCTGTCACAGTGCAACACAGAGGCATACAGGACAAACAACCATTCACACCTAAGGACAATTTAGAGAAGCCAATTAGCCTAACAGTCATGTTTTTGGACTGTGGGAGGAAACTGGAGTACCCGGAGAGAACCCACACATGCTCAGGGAGAACATGCAAACTCCATGCAGAAAGACCCAGGGTTGGATTTGAACACAGGACCTTCTTGCTGCAAGGCAACAGGGCAAACCACTGCACCATTGTGCAGCCCTGATGTGAATAATATCAAAATCTATTAATGAATCATAATTACCTGTCACTTCCTTGACCATGGTGTTCTCGTATCATTTTCTGGAACAGGGAAGAGAGCTTTTTCATCCTGAAGATTTCTTGTTTTTTAATCAACTGTGCCCAAATTCACAAAATTCATTCTGTGTACACAGTGGCATACTCCCAGGCTTCTGGCATCCTGTGTGAAACAATGCAAAATACAGATGAGTTAAAATGCTTACTTAATCTTAAAATTAACAATGATAGAATATCTCTTTTCATACAAATTTATGGTTAAAATGTTTTATTTAAAACTGCATCCAAATGTGTATTCTACATTTTTTACTACAATATAATTTCTCTATAAACTGGGCTTCATTTGTAAGAATAATCAACTTTCAAAAATGTTTAAGCCCAGAATGTAACCCTACCATCAATATATGGTTCACTCTCAAGTATTTGTATTTCACAAATATTCTACTTGAATTATCTGAAATTTACCTTTCATCACTTGTTGTAGCCCCCAGAAATCTTGTATATTCTTTGTAGCATCTTTTCCACTTACATCCTTGAGGATGGATTCATCCATTTGCAGTTCAGTTGCTTTAACCAAACTCCCTAGCAAAGAGAGAGTTAAAAAAGTTCAATCATAAACCAGCTGCCAACAAATAATATCAAATACCTTTTCTCTGTTTTACGAGACTGAACTGGTAGTTGGGTGACAAATTTAAAATCTAACCATTATTTGACAAATGAATTAATTGCCTATCATCACTTCAAGTTCATAATAATGCCTTTTATTATTTTTGAGGCCCTACACATAGCCTTCATACGCTTACTTCACAATGAAAAGAGCAGGCTTGGGCTGGCACCAATTACACATGCATTTTTTTTAATCAACATATGTATAACTTTTGCTTTTGGTTATAAGCCACAAACAAAGATGCAATCTGCAAATGATCTACTCACCAGCATTTATAGTTTCTGCTTGGACCATTTTTTCTTTCTTTGTCTTGTGTCCTTCTTTCACAAAGTGGTCAGCCCTCTTGCAAATTATACAGACAGCAGGAAGTACATTGCCAGACCTCAATGATTTAGTCGTGGATCTCAACTGTTTTGACAATGGTGGCCGGCTTGTCGTGGACGTGGTTGTGGAAGACTCGTGATCAGAATCAGAACCATTGTTGTCACCACCATATGCTCCCCGTTTTTCTGCTAGTTTTTCAGCACTGGCAA